GAGTGCCCCCTGCTGGGCTCACTAACACCTCTTCCAGCAGCAACCTTAGAGAGGTCTCTCATCCAGGTACTGACCAGGCTCACACCTGCTTAGCTTCAGTGGGTTGGCAGTTGTAAGTTGCTGGGTGATATGGCTGCTGGTTATGGCAGGGTTCAGAGTGTGGGAAATGTGACTGTACAACATCATTTTGAAAACATAACAAGGAAACAAGCTGAGGAACTTGCCCATAACGCTATTTACATTTTTTGTAGGTGCTGACAATAAGATTTTAATCTCATCTTTCTTTAGGCTGATTTATGTAGATCTGTTTGTTTTCCAGGCAGATATCTGGTCGTTAGGAATAACAGCAATAGAACTGGCTAAGGGGGAACCCCCTCATTCCGAGCTGCACCCCATGAAGGTCCTGTTCCTCATTCCAAAGAACAACCCACCCACACTGGAAGGAAACTACAGCAAACCTCTTAAAGAATTTGTAGAAGCCTGCTTAAACAAAGAACCCAGTTTCGTAAGTTGGAACACAATCTAGTGTTGTCATTTCTGTTTTGTTTTTGTTTTTATTTTATATTACATTATTTACCAAATCAAAAATTACAAAAATGAAGCTGGAGATTTTTTATTTCCATGGTGTGGTATCAAAGGCTTTCTTGTTGCCCAAAATTGTCCTTAATTATCCCTTTCTTGGTTATTTCTTCTGTTATATTAAGCTGTTCTGCTCACAAGTCTTTGGAATGTTATTGGTGGAAGGTGAGGTTGGCCTAGTAGTCTGTTGTAGGCCTGTAGTTTTCCTGCATGACTTAATGGGTGTAATCAAATTGTTTTAAACTAGTGTATTCTTCTCTATTGTAACATTTCTCAAACAATGTTACTCGCGTACCTTGAGATACTTGCGCACTACGAAACTAACAGTAACCCATCTCTTTTTTTAAACCCCCATAACAAGCTTGGTTTTCAGGAAAATTGTGCATGTCTGGCAACGGGCAGTGTTTGTGTTTTGCAAAATAGCTGTCCTAAATGTGCAAGTTGCACCTTTCCAACAGCAGTCTCGTCTTTTGACAATTACATTTTGACTTCACAGCGGTATTAGCATATGGTTTTCTGAGCTCACAGCAGGTCCTAAAATCATGTTCTTCTTCACTGTTACATAAACTCCTGTCTCAGTTATTGTAAGAAATTGTTCCCTCTCCAAGCAGGCTGCACACACAACATGCATAGTTCATCCTGATGACACGTTAGCTATTTCTCAGAGCTCCTCCAGGTTTCGGAAGCAGAAGCGTGTGGAAGCATTTGCTCTTGGGCCTGGTTGAAAGCCATATTTCAGATCCTAAGCCTCTTTCTTAAAGTCTGGCACAACCTAGATTTTATCTACTGGTGTATAAGCAGCATAACATCTGAGGAAAGTAGGCTGTTTAAGAAAGAACATTTTCACATTTATTGATATTCACTTATGTTTATAAATGAGAGAAAGTTTAAAAGATTCATTGTTTTCATTTCCTTGACCTCGGACAGCTGGATTTTAACTCTCCTTTTTGGGTTGTTTTTCTTAGAGACCAACAGCTAAGGAGCTGTTGAAGCACAAGTTCATCGTCCGGCATGCCAAGAAGACGTCGTACTTGACAGAGCTGATAGACAGGTACAAGAGGTGGAAAGCAGAACAGTCGCACGATGAGTCCAGCTCAGAAGAGTCCGATTCGTAAGTTTTTCTACAGTGAATTGTTAACCCTATTCCCCAGCCTTTTGAGTTCAAGTGCTGGTGCATTTAGTTTTAAATATAAACAAAAATTAAGTTTTGTGGCATAACATCTTTCACTTTTGTGGGTTTAAAAGAGTGGAATGGATCTGCTTGAAAGCATATGCTTCATGTTAGTTTTTTATGTGCATTAATGATGCAGGTGTTAGTGATGCATTATTGAATTCCAAGATTACTTGAAAGCTTGCAGGTTTTGTAAATTTCCGATATGTAATGGAATGACTAAATCCACAGAATTCATTCACTTTTTTCACTCAGTTTGCATGTTCTTCCGCTTTTTTTCCCAGAGAACAAGATGGGCAGGCATCCGGTGGAAATGACCCTGGAGATTGGATCTTCAATACAATCAAGGAGAAGGATCCCAAAAAATTACAGAATGGAGCCGCCCAACCAGACGAGCTTGAAAGAAACAAGGTCAGGTGATTTTGTCATATGATATGCATTCATTCTGCCCATAGAACTATCTTAATTTCTGTTAAAAAAGCTGCATATTCCTGTTCTCTCTTTGGATATTTTAAAAACCCAGCATTTCTAAGTTGTGGATTGGGGTTATCTTCTGTAAATTATTCAAAATAATGTTATTCCCTGGACATCTGCTAAAGCAGGAGGTTTTGTAGACAAGATTATATTTAGTTCCTTTTGAAATAATTTAAATCACAAAAGAAAAATCTAATATTCTATTCAGAGTCCCACCTGCTAAAAATGAAATTAGTAGTGTTTTGTTTTATGTTTGAACAGCTTCAGAAAAAATATCAACTTAATTTTCAAAGCATTCTAAAGTGTGATATATAATTACAATGTACTAAATTCCAAAGCAATCTGGCAGCAGACTTTTATACAGCTGGTGTTTTAATTATAATATTAAATATCAACACTTATGAAGACTACGTTCCTTATTCATATTCTGTTAAGTTCAAGGTCACATTAGTCACAAAGGCTCTGGCAGAAGTAGTTTTGAATTTTTTTTCTGCAAGCCTCAGTTGTATTTATTCAGTTTTATCAAGAATTTACTAAATTTCAGTTCAGAGCAAAGCACATCACAGAATGCTTTTAAAAACATTGGTTTGTGTAATTTAATATTTAAATTTAGCTATTACTTTGCATATAGACTTAGTGAAATAATAATTTGTTTCATTACAGATTCACATTTAGTAGCTTGAATCCCAATCCCAGGATCTTGCTCAGCCATTTCTTAAGAGCATAAGAAAGATTACAGATGAGAGAAGGCGATTTGGCCCACTTATCCTGTTTGGTAGTTAGTAATTTATCCAAAGATTTTCCTTGTTTCTTGAAGCAAGTCAAAATAACGGCTTCAGCCAAATGGCTGGGTTGCTTGTTCCATACTCCCACAACCCTTTGGGTATAGAAGTACGTACCTCCTGTTCTGGCTTTTAAAGACACTTCCATGTAGTTTCCCACAGAGCTTCTTGAAATACGCCAGTGCGCTGGACTTATCAACATAAATGGGCAGCTTGTTTCAGACCCTTGAATAGGCCCACCACATTCATAGGCACCCCTTAGGACTTATATCTGAAAATGCAGACATTGACCCTTTAGACCGTAGGTGATATTCTGCTGTGATATGTGGTGATGTACTTGAACAGCTTGCTGAGGTCAAAGTGGGCCATTGTTGCCTCACTGACCATTTATGGCAGACAAAATAATATCAAGCATATTTATTTTGAACCTAGACATTCCCCTTAAACCTTTCCTTGTGCTTTGCATACAAGCCATTTTTATGCTGAGAGCACATTGCCAAAAAGAAAAAAAAGCATATTTATTGTGACACTACCTCATTGCTTTGTAGGTTATTGTTTTAATTTATCTGCAGTAGTGGGTATTTGAGAAGTGATATTTTAAAGGCAAGGGTTGATAACCTGTTTATCAGAAGAAATCAGTCCAGAAATATCTTGGATGAATTCCACACTTTTTGTATACAGTATTCTAGGTTAGTGGTATTATTGGTTATTTGCAGTCAATGGTTGTCCACATTTTTTATCCATAATCACAAATTCTTTGCTCTTTAAATTTCAATTATATCTCACTTACCATTTGAACTGTGCTGTTTAAGTGTCGTCTGAATTGATGTAAACTTTCTTCCTAAATTATTAAAAATTGTTGTTCCTGGCCATTCAGTGATGTCATATAACATTGTGTGAGTTCATAATCTGAAGATGTCAAATGTCTTCCCAGTCCTTTGTTATGAAAGAGCACTTAAAACTAAACTTCTTTTTACATTGTAGGTACAAGACATTCCAAAGAGGCCCCTGTCACAGAGTTTGTCAACAATTATTTCTCCACTGTTTGCTGAGGTAGGTGCATTTCTTAGAATTGAGACACCTTCTGTGTGACTGTTTGTTTTCTATTTGCTTATTGGCAACTTTTTGCCATTGTATTTGTATTGTCAATTACATAACAAATAGTCAAAACACATTTGGACTTGTGTTAACACTTTTTTTAATTCCATTCTGTCAGTGTTTTCCCAAGAATCCCTTTTCACACTTTAAAAAAGCAGTCTGTGAAATTCATGCAAAGAAAAATTGGATTCACAGAATATGTGTGATATTCATCATGTTCTGGTCTAAATGGCAGACGCGCAACCTGGAGATATCATTTCTGCAGACAGGACACAGCATTTGGTAATTGTTTTACATAACCATGCATAAATTGAATGCATTTCAGATCTTCCTGTTAACAGTTGTGTGTTGTGGATTTGCTTTCAAATTGTAGGCGTTAGTGTAGTGTTTTCCTTGGTTCCACTGTAAGCCAAATAACAATGTTCCAGCATAACATTCACCACAACAAAAACAAGTTTAACAAAAGTATTCACTCCAGATTGTTTTGAATTTAACAATGCATGGAACTAAATAGGAATTGCATTCAGTTGGGATTGAATTAATCTTCTTCATCTGAATTGAATTGAATTCTTCTGGTCTTCATCAAACCACTGATGGCACTGATGATGACACTGTAATTTCTTTCTAAAATTATGCTTCAGTTGATTTCTTTGTGAACCCCTTCAGCTGAAAGAGAAAAATGAAGCAAGCAGTGGCAAACCACGAGCTCTGGAAGAGTTGAGAGAAGCCATTTTCTTAGCGGAGGAAGCTTGTCCTGGTATCTCAGACTCAATGGTTTCCGAACTAGTGCAGAGACTCCAGAGGTAAGAAGTGGTTACTTTTATTGTTTTTAGGGGGGAACGCTGTAATTGGAAAGAGTTTTTCCTAGCTTTTATCCTTCTGAAATGTCAAACTTATCCTGTTCGAATAGCAACACAACTAATCAACTCTAAATGTGGTACCCATGGTGCCAGAGACATAGCAATAGACGCGATAGCAATAAAACTATGGTCCTTTACCAAAAAAAGCTTAAACATTTGTTAACCATAGTGACAACCTGTACAACATCTTTCAAATATAATTAAAAATCTTCTTTAAGAAGATGGTTCAGGATGCTTGGCTGTGATGAATTTTGATATCAAAATGGCAGCCTAGATATATCAGAGCACAGCTAAAAGTGTTGAGCTAAGGAACCCCGAACTTGGGGTCCTGGGATGAATACATGCTGTCATGCTAAAGAACCAACAAACTGTGGATTACTGTTCTGAAGAAGAGTTTGAAAGGTTTTTCGAAAATGTATCGCACAGGCTGCCATCTTGGGTCATGTAGCACCAATATTATAAGGAACGTCTCCATTGGCAAGTGCAGGGAGAGAAACCAGCCCATTAATTGTTCATGACATTGTGTCCAACCATGGGCAGTGTTAATGTTCAGAAAACAAAAACACCAAGAGCAGAGCAATGCTGACCTGCAGTTTAGTAATAAAAATGAACATATAGAATGTACTAAAATTGATTTTTTGCAACTTGACTGAAAGTTCAAACTATCTTTGTTGACAAATGGTCCAGGCTGTAAACTGCTGCGTTTACATGCATCTTCTATGCACTGTAGGATCCAGAGTTTTAAAGACTTGTGGTCCTGATTAAAAAAATATTTGCTGTGAAATTGAACAAAATGTTGCAAGAATTCCAACTGATGCTGCTAAATAAATCTTCAGCCAGTTCACTCCAAATGTGGTAGGTATAATCATGAGGAGAGTGGCAATTAAATATTTAGAAATGGTCTTTGTATTTTTAATTTTAACACTCAAATGTAGTATAATGATTACTTATAAGCATAGTTCATTTCTCGAGTCTTTGCTTCCTAGTAATTATTATTAAATTAAAACAAAGCACTGGTCAGCACTTGGGAAATAAACTTTAAATAAACTGTATCTTACCAAGATTTTTTATAAAGGTTTGGCATCATGGCAACATTTAGCACCTTAATTTATTTAATTTACGAATCTGTTTTTTTTAGGGCTATAAGCAAACACTTGTTTCACACCATCTTACAGATTATTTAAGTTCTGACACTGAATCCAATCTGATAAAAAGTGCAAATGATTTAGATGTCAGTGATCATGTTACTAAAGGTACAAAAATAGTCTTTCAATCTTGTTCTTCACATGTAACGTCCATTCTAGAGAAACCCAACGTCAATATTTCTTTGCACAGATGTTCATAATAGTGACATCTGTTAGCATGTTAGTTTTAATATTAGAAAAGATATGAATAATTCTAAAAATTTTATTTTGTAACTCAAATCAATTCCACTGTCTTATTGATCCATCAATTCACTGTCGTATTTCATGAGTATGTAACTTACTTGGTAGTTGCCAAAAACAGCTTCTGCTTCGTGTTATTTGAAAACAGGACTGGGCTGTTCTAACTTGAATTTGCATTAGTGGCAGCTAATCTGTTTGGGAACAGTTTGTCACACCACTTTAATATTAAAAGGGATCACACAGGTTCACATGAGTACAATCTAAGCCACAGCAATTTTCCTGATGGACTGATTGAATTACTACCCTCTAGCACACTATACTGTCTGATGCATTCTAACTGTGCCAATTCATGGGACTAAAAATTGTATATAAAAATACAATCTGTTTTGGTTAGCCTTGTCAATATACAGTTGTTAATAAAGGTCAAAAAAATTATTCTTCAGCCCTTATGTTTATTTAGGATGAGAGGTCATTGTATGCAGTCAGATTTTTTATTTCAGCTCAGTGCATTTAGCTGTGGTCTCATGAGACAGACAGTACATATTAGATTTAAAGAATCTGAAGTTAATCTTGAAAACAGTCAATAGGTTTTGGTTTTGCCAGCATGCATTTATTTCCTGTTTCTTTACACAATGAGCCCTGGTCAGTTATTTTGACCTTGTTTATGAAAAGAAAAAAAACAAGTTAGTTGTTCTTAGTCTTTTGTTAGTAATGGAGATCCCCACATCAGTGAAGATACTTCACTCTCTTGGTCCTTTTGGGGCTGGTCCTCCCACTAGCACGTACGCTCGTATTTCGGTTTTGTTTATCATCAAAGTCTGCTTCGTGGTCTGTGCAACAGTGAGCTGCAGGATCTTTTTACCGCATATGTCTTTTCTACTGAGGGAGGCCCTCTTAACTTGAACTTTAATCTGGCCACCTTGCTTTTGTATTTTCAGATTCTCTTTAGGTGGGGCATCGTCTTCATCCCAGTGAAGGTTCCCTCCCGGGTCTCAGCCGGCTGCGAGTTTTGAGGAGGTGCTCTTATATTCTGATATACCACATATGCCACACAGTGAAGAGAGGTATCTTCCTGCACCTGTGGAGGGGAGGGGAAAAGACGGAGGTGGGGGAGGAGTGGGACATTTCCCCAGAGATCAACAGCCAAGATGAAGTCTCTCAGAAGGTCCATCATTCTTCAACTGCTTAAAGCAAAAGATTCTTAAGTTTTTGTTTTTATTTTTAACTATTTGTCACAGGGCACATATTACAGAGAGAGAAGTATGGTTTTATTAGGAGGACGATGAAAGTCTTATGGGTGAGTGAGAGAGTGTGTTGGATGCCATCCCCTTTTGACAAAAAGCAACTTCATGTCCGTCTTTGCCGGTACTCAGGTGTTACTGCTGACTTTTGGGGCAGCTCTACAAGAAAACTTGCATTTAATTAGGTCTGAGGAAAGAAGGGTGATTTATGATTTTTGAGAGTACTAAAAAACCCCAGAATTCTAATACTTTAATTTATGGTGCATTTAGTTTTTTGGTTTTTGATATGCATCCAGAAAAGAACTTTTTGAAGTTGCAGACCAGCTACTATAAAGGGGAAACCAGAAGATGTTCATAAGAGTCTAGTACTTCCTAGAGTCTGTGTGCATTTCTGTTGAAGGCCTGAAAATGTGTTTTGGGGAACTGTGCTAAAGGAGATTGAACAATTTTTGTGAAACCTCAGGTATCCTGCTTTAAGAAGATGAGTCCTCTGGGAGATGGAATATGTTGTTGGGTGGATGTACAAATTTGTATATAGGGTCCTTTTTACCAATATTGAAAAAAATAAAAAGTGTGTGTTAAGAAATCACTGTGTATAAAATGGCCAAGTGCTTCTGTAGATACTGTTAGTAAAGGTAAATATTTAAAAAAGAAAAAAAATCACACAAATGGCCATAACTGAGCATTGCCTTGCCTTTATTACATGTACATTTTGGATATTTGGATTTTTTTCTTATTTTAACTATTATTTGTAAGGTTTTATCATAAATGGAAAATTGATACCCCCCTTTTCCAACCATTATTTTATTAAAACAGGTACCTCAGTTATCTTGACTGGAACTCTGGATATCTGAATCCATGATGTAGCTGTTACTGAGTACAGTGGAGTGCCCATTTTTCTTAATTATCAATGCAGTCTGCGATAATTCCTGATCCTGGATGTATTATTGTTAGCAGATGTGACAGGATTTGTAAATGATTTGCCACTTAAAAGTTATGGGAGAGAAAAATCAACACTTTTATATTCTTCATTTGGTACCACCGAAGCATAACGTTTTGAGGCAAGATACTTCCTGAATAAGAAATTCTATTCTTAAAATCTGCAACCAGTCTTTTATTATTAAAACTTCCTCTACACTCAGTTAGTTTCTGTGTTTTCTTTGCCATCCTCTGCCCTTTTCCCTCTGTCGTCTCAAAGGAAGGTAAAAAAGTAGTTTATTCTAGGTATAAAATAGCTTAAAACACCAGTGGCAGGGAACACTTTCCCCTTAAGATTTCCACAGTGGTGATTGTAAACTGCTTTGAAGATTTCAATGCCACTTGCATCTTTGTGGTTTATAGAGTTAAAGTGGCACGAACTGCTTGAATTGCACTCAGAAAAATAATTGCCTTTTGCTATACATGGAGTAGCCATAAGAAGTTCATTATAACAGGCATACAAATTGGAAAATGTTAACAGCACAACAATGACTTTGTTAGATGTAATGTAACATTGCTATGTCCTACAATGTGTACTGTCTTCAAGTAGGAAATAAGCACATGCAGTAATACATTAAATCAGTTCCTTTTACCTTAGGTACACTGACTACTTTAATTTAAAACCACGAGATCACCTTTACAAAAGTTTCTTCACTTCTGTTGTTCTGTGCAGTTAGGTTCATGTGCGTGACACATGGGATTTCTGAATCCTTGTTTAGGGTATGCGTTGTAGCATACATTATTGGGAACAAGTGTATTTACTGGTAAAAGAAGGATAGAGCTGGCCTTATCACTACACACTGTGCAGTGGGATCTGAAGTTGCAGCTTTAAAGATTTAAGCCAAACCTTTTTGGCCAAGTCAGCATTGTGTTTTATTTCTTTTTTATAAATTAGCTTGAATTCAGCAGCTATCAAGGAAAATAAAAGGTTGTACGCAGCAATAATTTAACATAGGATTTGGCATATTTACAAATATTGTCGCAGTATCAAAAGAAAAAAAAATAGATTCCAGTTTTTTAGGGGAGAAACATTTTACCTGCATGTTTTAACTTTTAAAGAAAGAAGTCCTTTGTGTTGTGTACAATGAAAGTCTTACCGTTCAAACTAGGATATAAGTGGAGGAGTGGCATTTTGAAATGGTGACAGACTTTCTTTCAGAGAATCTTAGTTTATTTAGTGTCAGAAGGCTTTTGTTAAAAAAGGGATTGGCAGTAAGTGAAGAAACAGCTTTATTTGCTTAGATTTCTGTCAGCGGTGGGGGCCTGGTGGGGGTAAGAAAATTGAGCAACGTGTTCGTGACTTTCTCTAGTTTGTTAGCCCAACTGGGGATCGTCGTTTTTTCTTTTATCGGTAGTTTAAAATATTTACAGTTTCAAAGAGACAAGTGTGTGTGTTCAGATTTTGGTTTTCTGTTAGCTATAGACATTTGAAGTAACGGCACGCAGCACATTTCCAGAGAACTGGGGACACGCTTTGCTCGTTGGTTTTCTGTTTTAATAAGTTAAGTCCTCCTTCATGGTATTTAGAAACTCGTTTGCCCATTTTACCTTGGTAGTGTCCCTTTTGCAGAGGTGTGTGCCAACAGGTACAGCATGCATTTCCAAAGGACCAAGCAATTGTTCCCAAGCGAAAAAGAAGTGCCATGACTTTGGTCATCCCTTAGTTCTTTTTATCATGTATTTTGCACCTTGTCGAGTCTGTCCAGCTGAACTCTTAACCCTTGTGTTGCACTTTGTAAGATTTTTTGGGGGTTATTTAAAAAATGGTACTTGAGGCCATCATTTTGTGTTATTTCTTACACTGTTGCTACTGTACTTTTGCAAATATGGCAATAAAGTAGTAAGGACATCAGGATGCATTTTCAGCACAGGTATAATGTATGGAATGAATCGATAAGAAAAATCCAATATTTTTTTAACTGTGTAAAGAGCAAGTACTACAGTAAAGAATAAAAATAGAATCCGATCCTCTATGACATTTATTATTATTGATGGGATACTTATTACAGATGCTAATTAAAAAAAGTGTAAATTTCATTTTCTGTAACATTGCTGACAGTTTATAGTCCTGTATATAATCCTTGCTTATGTCATTAAAAACACCAAGGTATTGAAAACTCCTTGTAAGCTTTCAAATAATTAAGAAAAATAAAATTCAGATTTACTTGATGTTCAGAGCCTCTTGTCTGAATTTTGGTATTAAAATGTTTGGAATAAATTGCATCACAAAACATACCCAATTCCAAATGCAAGTTTAAAATATAATTTGTTCAGATTGTGTACTGTATATTTAGGCTGGGTATAGTTATAGCCATACTGTAGTGTGTAAGTGCTTTTGGAAAGTTGAAGTGAAATTGTCTGGTTTTATTTTGTCTTTCCTTTTTGAGTACGTATTAACAGAGTTGAGTGATGAGTCTGTTACTTTAGTGGCCTTTAAGGAATATGATATGGAAGGCTGTTAACTATTCCAGTGTTTTGACTTTTCAGACTAACCGCTACTACTTGCATCAGGGAGAATTGGTCATACTTACTTCTCACTGAGGTTTCTAAAGTATCCAAGACTTTGAAGAACATGCAGCACTTGGTGAGGAATGATCCTCAAACTATTTTATTTTGCAAGATCTTCCCAATTATTTTGTTTTAGGTGAGTAGTGGTGTACATTTTGTATTCACATCTTGGAGTAGAGATCTTTTCCTTTTACCAGGTAAGTCAATTGACAACAAATTCCTACCTACAGTGGTAACCTGGAGACCCCTATTTACAGCAGGGAATTTACTGGGGTGGTCTTAAGTGAATACCCTGCACTCAGGGTAACAAGCTAAGTGTAGCATCCATAGTCTTAAACGCTACTCCAAGCCGATTTCTACACCCATCTACAACCACTCAACCGTCCATCCCTTTTTTAGCGGCTTTATCCTATGAAGGGGCAGGGGAGCAAGGTCTGTCCATCGCAGGGCACACACAGACACGAACACTCACACCAGGGCCAGTTTTCCCAAAAGCCAATTTACTTACCTTCAACCTACCTGAATCTTTGGACTGTGGGAGGAAACCAGGGCACCCGGAGGAAACTTACCAGAACACTGGGAGAGACACTGTACAAACTCCATGCAGATAGCGCCCCAGATCCAGAATTGAATCCAGAGTCCGGCGCCGCAAGGCTGCAATGCTAACCACTGCCTCGCACGGTTTCTGCAACCCTGTGATATAATTAGAATGATAAAAATAATACTGTAATTCTAAGGCTGTCTGCTTCAATGTTCTTTCACATTGATGCCATTGTGTTTCTATTCTTCTGAAAGCAGGCTTGTGTACAGCCCATGGTTGCATCAGGTCCTAGGCTTCGTGTCAATTATCACTGGAGATGCTGAACTCTTGGTGACAGTTTTGGGGCGAATAATGTCCTGCAGTTGGTTTAGTCATCATTTCATGCTTTTATGCTCCAAGGTTAAAGAGGCCTTTTTTATTATTATAAAGAGATTTCTTTTGAAATGGGCAGACATCTGATTCACAAATTGTTTTCACATTTCAGGTCTGATGACCGAGATCATTTTAATACTGTCAAGACTGGATTCATGTGCTTGACATCTTGTTAATGAAACTGGGAAAAAAAACACCTTTGATGGGATACTTGAATAGATTTTACATTGAGTTAGTGTTGCAGTGTCTAATAGAATAATTTTAATTCTTGCCACCTTGAAACTAGGAACTAAATGATTATGATGTTATAAGTGGACTAGTACTCACTTTGGATTAACCTGACCAAGCCCTGGATCTGGTTCAGCAAAAATACTGGGCAAAATTGCCATAAGCTGGTGTGTAGTCGTGGTAGAGACATGCCCACAAAGGTGTGTCCACTTATTATTGAGTTCAAGGGTATGAATACTTAAGCAATCAACATTATTTCAGTTTTTTTTTTGCACTTATGTTTTTGCTGGCATTCACTGTATCTTACTCTTAGAAGTCTTCCATTTGAGTATTCAGGTTTGGAATAAAATGTTTAGTTTTTAAAACAATGTGTACACCATTTTTGTAATTTCCCAATGATGCCAGTAGTAAAAAAAATGTAATTTTATGATGCAAGTAGGTTCTTTAAAGCAATCCATTTGAGTGGAAATGAGACACAAATGAATAATTGGTTAATAGTGGGAGTGAAATTCTACATGTGGAAAAGAGCAAATATGATTGTCTGTGACTAATTGGCTATTCTGCTGAATTTGTAAGCTTGTGTATATTAGCAACAGGCCTGTGTTGAGGCTTTTACTGGAATGCAAGAGATTGAGTCTCAGGAGGGAATGTAGAGGGTCTTGAGAGCACAGGTGTTGTCTTTTGGCTCCTGTGTGGCACCTCAGCAGTCAGGCTTGCAGTCTTGATGTTGGAGAGGGTGTGATAGGTATGAGAGAGAAAGACTTGCTAGGTTGAGGATTAGTGAAGGAGAGAGATCTGTAGCTCAAATTCACTTCGGTAGACTATACAGGTTTTAGTTTATAAGGTTCCAGTGTCGTCATATGGGGGATGACTGGTACCGATTAAAATTGGAAGTCTGGCCAGAAAGGGTTAAGTAAAGTGCGCCAGGGTCTCTCTGTTTGGAAGGGACAAGTTCATGATCATTATAATGGAGTGACATGGAGTAGCTGAGTGGAATTCTCCCATTTTGACCTTCCTGAGACTGACTGAAGATGGGAGATGATTTGATGAGTGCATGAGATGAGTGACTGTGCCAGTGAAAAGCTTTGCAGAATTAACTACGAAACAGTGGAGTGTGAAGGCTTCTTCCAAATGGTACCATGGGTACATCTTGGAGCCTGGAGGGGTTCTGTTTGAATGACAAAATGACAAGCCACTCACACACGCAATTTTAGGCTTCTACACTGACCACAAGCAGTGTTCAGTGGTTCAGACTTGGGGTTTCACCACAGGGACATCATAGGAAGGGTCTGAACACATTTGCAAGGCACTGTATGTTATATTTGATGATATACCGATAATGGCCAGATGTATCCAAGAGTAACCAGATAAAGATTTAGAAAGGAGATGAGCAAGTTCTGGCAGGTCACTGAAAATAATTCTGTAAATCTGAAAAAAAAAGTGAAGTGCCTTAATGCTCATCTTAACCACAGGGAAATGTGACCCTGGGGATATTGTGCTAAATTGAAAGTGGTATAGTGAAAAGAAATCATGGCATCGCCCCTCATCATGCACATGCACAGCATAACTACCCACTTAAGCAAAAGCAGGGCAGCAGAGAGAGATAATGACAAAGAGAGCTATAATGAGACAAGTGACTAACTCTTCAATGCTAGAATTTTTTGGTACCAAAAAGTTTGTTGATTACTGATGGTTAATGTTTAACATATGCTACTGTTTGCATTGTGTTAGATATGATCTTTGCATAAAGAGCTGTAATCTTTAACAATGTTCATTAGCATAATTTGATGGTTAGTCCAGTTCTGGATAATCAGCACACTCTATACTCTTGCAGGCAGCCCTTTGCCCTTAGATTCTACAAGGGAATTTAGCATAAATATGTTAAATCATTCCTGTTTTAGTAATCGTGTTATTTGAATCAAGTAGTAGAAGAATAAATGCTGGTTTCCGAGTATAATTCTGTACCTAAAAATACAGAATACAAAATAGGTTCTTGCGCCACCTGCTGGCTAACAACCTCTACAGTTTCCCTTGGCCTAATTCTTCATCTTCAAGTCCTTCCACCCACCTGAGCTTTTAAACAATTCAACCCTCAATCGAAATAATCTTTTACAATCTCTGGATCTCAGCCGCCCACAAATGTCTGCTTTATTTTGAACAACAACTCGTATGTTCAGCCGAAATGTCTTAATAGAAGTAGTTCAACAATATTAACAAAAATACATTAGTTCAATATGTGGTAAACTTTCCACTGTTCATAATGTTGCCATTATTAAAGTTGCCTCAAACCTCAGCCATAGTAAATAGTGTCATAAGATACCTGCAATTAAAAAAAAATATGACAAGATATCCCAATTTGCAGCACTCGTCTGCAATAAGCCCCTTTTCCAGATGGAATTACTCTTTTTACTGATTGAGATAAACAATCCTAGGAGCCACGCTGAGATCCCCCTTATTGATGCATGGTATAGAAAACCACTGTATTGGCAGTTACAAGGTATTATGACCAGTCTTTCTTGAAAGAGGGCCCAGCTAAATAACATGATGGTAACTGATGATACACAATGATATGAGCAATATATTTCATATTTAAAGCCAGTTCATCACAAAAGCAATTCTATAAATTTCACTAACAATCACCAACAAGGCACAAACGGCGTCTCAAGTAAAGTCAAACTTGATTTTAATGAACTGCTTTTGTATTTTTTAATGCCATTTTGATTATTTTCCAATTGTGGGGTCATTGCAGTAACTGCTAGCCTGGGTGGTTAAGGCAAGACTCTACATTCCTGATAAACAGCTTGGTATTTAAAAAAACTGAAAGAGAGGAGAAATATCAGAATTATTGTACAGGAAATTGGAAGGAAAGTGATTAAGTTAAACATAATCTGATGTTAACATCAACCACTTTTACTTACTAGCTCAGTTTGCATATGAGAAATAGTTCTTCTGAATGTCACTACTGAATTTACAATAAAACACCACAATCCACAGAAATCCATGAATGGAAAAAATGATGGCAAAATGCCAGCAGTTTTTAGCTCATCCAGTCCAAAAGTTAAAAATAAATGCAGGTTCAAAACTGTCAAGAAAATGCACATTTCAATGTTCTCCCAAATGCAACCATGAAGAATACCGCAACAAAGCTCATTAAATGTGTTTTATTGCTTTCATTTCCCTAGACACATAGTAGGAGGCATGATTTCCTTCAGGAATAAAACATTTACCAATTATCTTACAGGCCATGGTGATTAAAAACTTTATTTTGATATTCTTGACCTTTAAGAAAATTTTAGACATTTACCTTTATAGATTGATCATTTCCATATCTGAAAGCAAAGCCTGGGTTCTCAGATGAACTCATACAAATGAAATTGTATTAGGAAATTTTTGTTTTTCAAAGCTTCAATCAACTTGAAACATTTCATAGATATATAAGATGCAGTTAATTCTTTATAAAACCACACAGATTTCTCCTAAATTTGATAATGGAAGCCTGGATACTAAAATTCTTCAGTGCCAGTGCAGATGAAGTTGTCCTTATAATGATCAAACACAATGGTGTTTCTCTCAGTGGCAGGGTAACAGTCTAAGCAGACAATGATACCCACCTTGACTTATTAAAAGTACTATCCCAAAAGTGATAAAAACCTTTTTAACATATATATTGACATCATAAAGGTATTGTGAACACAACCATTCATCAAGTCATACATACTTGAAACATTTAAAATTAACTTAAAAAAACTTTGAAAAAGGTGCCTACAGTATTTTCTATATTTTGAGTTGCAGAAAATGGACAATTCTAGAAACCAGTTTTTCCACCAAAAGACTATTAAAATCACATTATATAAAGGCTGAAAGACACTAGCAGAGAAATAGGTATAAATCAGTTTGGCACTCAAGTTGTAAAATTTAAAACTCAGCCTTTGTCCTTTTATTTAAAAAAATGTTTTGGAGTAGCAAATTCAGTTTTTTTTCCCCCTATTCAACAAATATTCAACAACAGCTTAGTTAAAAAATATTTTGATTAGCCCATGTTTTGATAGATTTATAAACACTTCAATGTGTAAAACTATCATGTCACCAGATGGTTCACAGATACTTTAAAATTTGTAGAAAGTGACATTAGAATGTAGATTAGAGCCTGGTAAATGTTCAGATTGCGAGCCCTTTTAATGTCGGCTCACGTGTACCTTTAAAGCACTGTGAATTGTGCCACTGACCGACAGGCAGATGTGTTGGGAGCGTAAGATTTATGTTTACAAGAAGTGAAAAAATGGTTAAAAATGACGAAGAAGCAGGCTGGAATGAAATGTTATTGCGCTGGTCACGGCTGCTTCACCAAGGAGATTCTAAGCTCAGCAATTGCTCTTGGGGCCGACGGTGTGTTCAGAAGACCAGCAGAACCTAGGGGCCAGCTATGATCTCTAGCCCATCTTTGGATCAGTAAGGATGAGAATCTTTCCGGCTTAAAATCCGTGTGCGGCTGACCGAGGTTGTGGCACTTCGGATGACTTCCATCCACCTGGAAAAACCACAAGCCCCACACAGTTGTGATATGCAGCCCTGCAAACCAGTCTATATAATCACAGTGATCTTAAACATTAGACTTGTATACTCTTGGTTTTTTTCCTTTGTTTACTTTTATTGTACTTTTTTGTCTTTTTTTTCCTTTTAATCATGATTCGGTTTGAAAAGGTGCTTTATAAATTAAAGTTGTTATTATTATAAGCTTTTTAGTCTTAACCAATGCATGCGGAAGCTTTCTAAAACTCCTCGAGTAAAGCTTCTTTCTTCAGCAAAGCTGTTTTTCTAATCTTAGAATTGCTCAGAATATATTTCCTGTATTATAATAGTCTTAGCAAAAATATAATCAACTCCAGAGCTGCCTATAATACAGGGCACCTATGTAGGCTGTGGGTCTAAGCATGGTATAATTTGCTCATTAAATATATCTGACAGAGGAAACAACTGCTTGAGACTACACCCAGATATTTCATCAACAAGCTGTGCCGGAGTAGGGTAGGGTCATTGGGAATTGAGTAACAAAGCCATGCTCTCACACATTTTCATTGTATTCCCCTATTCAACCATCTTATTTAGTTGCTTACTTGGCCCGTACCTTGCCAACGTTTTCTCCCCCATGAAATTTGTTGAATTATAAGTCTGTTTTTCTAAATTCATATTTTTCATCAAAACCTAAATACTCTTACTGAACGATTTGATGGATGATAACATTTTAACGTGACAAAATCTGCAAAGGAAATTGAAATAATAAAAGATATTGCTTGTAATTACAACTGCAAGTCTTTTTGGTTAAGTCTCTACTATCTTTGCACAAATTGAAAGGGGGTGAATACCTAAGCAAGGCACTGTATTATCTGCATCCATTTATCTTCTGACCATTTCTTCTAATTCAGGTTCGTGAGGGAGCTGAAGCCTATCTTGGTAAACAATAGGAACAAGGCAGGATATACCCTGGATGGGACATCTCATTTTCAGGGTGCATTAGGAAGAAGAAAATTGGGCTACACAATAATTGAATGAGTAAACAATATACAACATAACAGCATCCTTTACTACTTTTGCAAATCACATCACAGGCACAAGATCACATTCATCCCTTGATTTCCCAGCACAATTTGTTTCTCAAAATATGTTTAGCTGAAAATGTGGAAACTGAAAACGAATTTTCCATTATTTTAAGTTAAAGCTTACAATTCATTCAAATCACCCAGAACTGCTTGTCAATGGTAATCAATTACACTATTTGCTCTAGTGTAGTAGCTTATGTACTTATTGTACATGTTTTTCTATTTCATATGGCAATTACAGAGCGGTTCTGCCGTCGTACCTTTCAAAAGTGTACTCGCTCTCAGATCTGAAGTAGTACACGTGGGACTTGAAATGCAGTTTGAAGACGTAATCCTTGTGGATGTTTTCCGACTCTGAAGGAATGGTGACGGAATACCCAAGAAGGGGAAGGCTAGCCAGAGGATAATCATCCTGGAAAAAGAGCAACATTCCTTTGACTCACAGCTACCGACAATCAAAGCTGAAACCTGCTAAAATGTTGAGGCATTAATGCACTGGTGCTTCTCTCCCAGTACAGTGAGGATCATTTAGAAATGTTGAAACGCCCTTTGTAAAGGAATGGAGACAAGTACACTGTAATCCTGTTGCGTTCCACACAAAAATGAAATCGAAAGGAGTTACTGTAAATCTGATTTCATAGCCGAGTTAAAAACACTGCATGTCTAACGCAGAATTGTGTTGACTGGAATTTCAAAGAGGTAGTTCATTGGCTAGTCCACTGAAGCTAACCTGGATTAAAGAAATGTGCTGTACTTTAAGTTCCTATCTATAATTCAACAAATTATATTGATCAAAAATGTTGATAGTGAACATTTCTTGACCTTTGCTACTTAAAACATTTAACAAAAGTCTAGGGACTACAAGTCAAGATATCACAAATAAACACAAAAGAGAAATATGACAAACTTGGTACAATAAGTAGCTCGTTTTAATCTATATCCTCCCAACAGCTGCCATGTGTGGCATTTTAAATATTGGGAAATCTTGCAAACTTTATTAGGATCAACTGTTTTATAGACATACTTTACCAGACAAGAACTTTATACTTTATTCCATACAAGAACAATTTAGAGCTGCCAATTAACCCAGACAGCATGTCCTCAGAAGCTGGCAACAGCACTGACCTCTAAACCATCAGGGCCACAGTAATGTTACAGTTGAAGTTAATTACCAGAAGCAGCAACTTACTTCCTAGGAGATGCACAGCTCATGGTACAGTGACTTACTGTAAACTTGACTTTCATAAGCAAAATTCAATCTGATTTCCTGACACTTTCAGATATTGGGATCCCAGGAACACTCATAGAAAAAACTATGAGTCCTCCAGAATGAAAAATTGTCCACTGATAATTATAGGAAAAAAAGGGTTTTTTATGGCGATATAAGATTTAAATTCCTCACATTAACTCTAAACAGCAGAAAATGGATACAAGAGCCAACACTTCACTTCAGATACAGTAATGAGGACATACTGTATGAGACACATGTGTTTGTTTTGAGGTGGTAAGAAGCTTACCTGATATGATTTATAGAAAAACAGACTGAAGTTTGTGAAAACAACCCACAGCTTCTGCCACCCATTGCTGTTCTTGAATTTCCTCAGCAGATTACCAGACAACTGATTCTAAATTAAGAGAAGAGCAAAAAAAATCCACATGCTTGATTGAAAAAGCCACTTTGTAGTTTCTGTACTGCTCCCACTATTCCAGCTCTGAAAACTGGTGTTCTGTTAATACTCAAAATGAGTAAAAATACAGTTTATGCCAAAAGGTTAATTAAGAGGGAATACCTTGACTTGATTACACATCCCCTGTAACCTTCCATTTCTGTACTGAAGAAAACCCACTACATTTAAAAGATATTCTGATCAATGTTCACTTCCAGAACAAAGCTTTGCCATAAAAAGCACAGTAAGAAACCTGCGATGCCTCTGACATTGATATTTAACTGAAGCAGGTAGAAAATCCTTTCTGGAAAGCCAGTGCTTTTCCAAAGAGACTTGATTTTATGTAATGTTTTAAACACAATTATCTAAATACTGTCTGTCCTCCTACTTGATCTGTGGGATTAGATTGCAAAATGGCTTGCCAGGGTCAATGGTGGCCTGTAGAGATTGTTACTCATGTCTGATAGAGTGCATGTTAAAAAATGTAGTTTAAAACAGTGTCGCTATCCATTTTCTTTGCTTATTCGCTTTTGACTTTGGTAATAAATACTACTACTAAAAAGCATTCTAATAATTCGACTTGAACAGAAGAGAAGCCAGCATAATTTCTGCCGTGTAAATCATGCAACTGTCTATCTTAGAGATCATCATATTTCTGCTAAAAATGATGACGTCTGTATACTCCTAGATACAAATAAGAAAAATGGAGACTTGCTTTTGAAGGAAGATACATTCCTGATTTTAGAAGAACGTCCTACACTGATAGGCTAAAATAATTTAATCTTTTTAGTCTGGAATAGAGAAGACTATGAGGGAACCTGATTTCAATATTCAACATCCAAGGCACTAAAAAAATTAAACGTCTTTAACAGTAAAACACTCTGTATTTCATCATAAAGAATGGAAAAAAAACATTTGAGGACTATGCGGTCATTGGAGCTTTGAAGGTCAATGACTCTGCTACTGCTGCAAAAGCAACAAACTCAAAGGCTTTCTTGGGCTAAGAACATTATATTTTAAGGATGTACTGTAACAGCTCACATTCACTTTCATTATTAAACAGTGTGCAACAGCTCATTTATTACATGCATTTGGGATTACAAGTATACCAATCAGGGTGTACTTGTAGACTGATGCTGCTGAGCATTTGTAAATAACAAGGGATCCACCAGCATTGGACTCACTCAGAATCCATCGTTCCTCCCATCTACTGTACTACTCCTACAGCCAAATATTAGTTCTAACATGCTACAGACGTCTACAGCGTTCTCCACTTGTGATGTTTTAGAACATGTTTAACTCAATTTTCAAATAAATCAACACAACTGCATTTCATGTGAGAACTGTGCTCTGATGCAGGCTTTTTCCATACAATGAGTCTGACACAATATGTACTCATTAGTGAGTATAGAGTCTCCTTTCAGCGTAATTACAAGGAAAAGAAAAAAAGCTCAGGTGACTCAATTTGAGTCCCAGTCTCCTTTGCCTAGGAGTTTTACCTCTATACTCCTGCAGGTATCATTAAAGGAGAGGCTGTGAATTCGGTACCAGCAGATAAGAGAAATGGCCACTGGCCTCTGGTCACTGCACAGGCCAGAGAAGAGAGCCTCTGAGGCACTGACTGGAGAAGGACCTTCTACCACAGGAGGACAGACAGACAGGCACAGGGAAACAGAAGGGGACAGAGACACAGACTCAATAGGTAAACCACACACAGGCAGCAGCTGCAGATTAAACAGAGGTGCCAACAACCATTCCAGACAAGAAGCTGTGGAAGAGACAGTAAAACCAGAATACAAGGCACTTGTCAAATAGCAACACCAGGCTAGACCAGTTCTTTTTAAAGATATTGAACTTTGGAATGATATGACTGTCTGCAAAATACATAATCACTCCACAGAATGTTTTCTCAAATAAATTAAATCCTATTTATTAGGTGTACAGATTTGTACATTCTGGATTTTGATATTTAAGATTCTTTACGACTTCAAAGCATTCCCAGAGCTGGAGACAAAAATAAAGGTGTGTCTTGGTGTTCTTGGTATAAATTGCTCGTGCAAATAATTCATGAGACTCTTCAGTCTTAAGTGAATTCAAAGCTTTTCATCATGAATAAAATATAACGCCTCCTTCACTCCCCACCAAGCTAAAAATGATCTTCTCTGCACAATACAGAAAATAACAAGAGATTTGAAGGGCATAAGGCAACCAAAAACACTATTAAGTGCTAGTTCAAGATTGTCTTTTTCTGCACAATCTGTATTAGCTGAATTACACAAACAGTCACTTGCATAATTCAATATCCTTAAAGGAAGGCAACTTGGGCTGAGCACACGAAAAGAAAACCCCACATTGACACAGACACACAGAGGCTCTGCTGTTGGCAGAGGTGAAGGAGAGCACAGGACGTGATCATGGGTGGCCACAGGTCTGATGGGAGCCGCTGCTCGCCCTGAGGAAAGCAAGAAGTGAAAAGACCTACTCTGACAAAGCCAGTATCCTGAAGTTTAGGTGCTTATGAGCTAGGCTTGCAAAGTCTCAGTTCATACCAAACTACAGTACACCTTGCTTAATTCCAGTTTTCAAAAGGACACATCAAGATACTGCAGAAAAAATCTCCAGAAGCCTTGGACTTTACAAGGAACTGGATAATGAACATTCCATTGGCATAAGGAAGGAGTTTCAGAAGATTACAAAAAACTGAGCACTGGTTTTCAAATACCCGGGCTTTTAATTAGGCATTACCGATAAATTTGCAAAGCCGAACTGGTAAGCAAAGAGAAAAACTAAAGGGTACTGTCCCAGTGAAATTCTCGGTTTCACCCGAGAGATGCACACAGAGAAGGAGTGAGAGAGGGCTGGCGCAGGGTACCTCCATGGCAATGCTAAAGTCGATCATTGAAACGCTGGTGTTTCTGTGCCAACAGACATGCACCGTGGTATTACCACGGCTGGGGGCCTGCCTCTCTAGGGAAGTACGGGAGGCACTAAGATCATCCTCCGATTCCTGGTCTAGAGCCGAGTCCTCCGGAGATTCTAAGGAATTCAGCAAAAGGAGCCGTTAATTGAAAGGCATTTCCCATTCTGAAATGTCAGCCATCAAACGACCAAACATGCAAAGTGAGACCCCATCATCTGACAATGAGCACTCCTGAACAGTGGTGGTATACAGATTTTTAAAGGCCTGCTGAAAAAAACATCCACCTCCTCCACTAGTCTCCGTGTTGGGATCTGTACCTGTTGAGCACGGCCAAGCTGCTACTGTACAAAGTCCCACCTTTGAATCTGTCCAGGCTGGCTCTACCCACTTGGTAGTGAACTGATACATTTGGTCTATTAGAAATTTGTAATTTATTAAACCCTTTTAAGGACATCTGCTTTGGAAAGTAGGATCAATGAAGTTTGAAAAGGCACATCATTAACTGCAATTCATCAAGTGTCACTGAAACACAATGAAACACATTTCATGTTAAAATAGGCGCACAAGCTGAATCAGAGACAACTGACTGTAAAGAAAGTGAATGACAGTTCCTGAGGAAATCTAAAACCAGTTCATCTGAGGGAAACATGCAGCACATAAAGCAGTTGTACATTCAGCTGTGGAGACTTCTTCACACACCTGAGGCAGACTCCATTTCTATCCATTGCAGTCTTTCTGTTCACTTTCTAGTGTGGATTTAACCTCTATTTTTGTACTAAGGAAAGGTTTGTTTGCCTTCAGAACAGCCATTTTCAACTTCAACAACAATGCAATCAGCACACATACAGTACAGACATCCAGCATTCAAATTAAGGCAAGCCAATTGTCAATGAAACTACATAATATTTGATTAATGAGAAGAAACGTATATGTAAGGATTTTTAGGACAACAGAACGAAACAACTGTATCCTGCTCCAGAATGAATTGGTAAAAGCAATGCAGTATCAGCTCAGAAAACAAACGTCTGCATGACTAAATTCGGTGTATGATTATAACCAAGCAGGAACAAAAAATGGTGGGCATGTTGAAGCTTTCTAACACCTCATGTGGATGGCTAAATGATACGCTTAAAAAATGAGTTTTGGAATAAACGGAATTAAGAGAGAAATTATGTCCCTCCACAAAACTTAAAAGCATACTTCCCAAGTAATCAGCCTCTCATCATAGAACCTATCTGCTTCATCCACTTACTGTTTTCTGGAGAACTTGTAGCCAGCAAGTCTGAGGATGGCCCATTGCATTTCTCTGCCAATTCGATGGCCATCTTGATGTCATCTACCCACTTCTCCATTTCTGCTGCACAACTGCAGTGAACAAAAATGAATATTTAGTTCATTAATAAAAGTTTTCTAGATTTACCTTTTCTCTAAAAATGTCACCATGGCTCTTGGCACATCTGTGGACAATGCAATCAAGTCAAATGGTCCTACAAACTTGCAGAATTATGCAGGCTTCTTTGCTCCAGACGACAATTTTGTTGAATAATGGACAACAGCAAGCATTCGCATACAGATTGCTAAGATTTTTGATTAACTTGCTTTTGACCCATAACTATGTAATTAGGTTATTTTCATGTGCACACATACAGTTGCATCTTTCTATATGTTCTCTAATCTATAAAGCATTATGATTAACTTCTGTGCTGTTGCTCTGTTGGGACTGTGATTGACATGTACTTTGTCCACCAAAAAACATCTGTTCATATTATTGTTGCCATTGCACAAAAGCGCCCCCTCCTGACAATCCATTAGAAATGTTACAAACAACAGGAGTCTGTTAGGCCCACCTGTTTTGCGGACAATTCATACTGATAAGAAGGTTCCTACCTTGCTGCCACCACCACAGTCTGCCTCTGCCCAAAGAGACTGAAGGAGTGTGGCACACCCCATTCATCTTCGCTTTCTTGGATCTGCAGGCAGACAAGAGTGGAAAGATGAGAAGAGATGAGAGTTGGAACCACAAGAAAGGGGGAGCTTAATCCTTTTTGTACATTTTAAAAAGATTTCTGCCTTTTGATTCTCAGTAATCAGTGAATATCAATTCAGTCCAGTCCTAACTTTATTTCCCATTCTAAGCCAAGCAAATCAGAACAATTGAGCAACTCCTAAAGTTTATACTTGCCATGGGACATGTGATGTTACATCACAGTGAATCAGGACAAGGGCAAGGCAGGTAACACACTTAAGGAAACTTCAAAAAGGCTGCAAACAAGAGGGGGACATTAAGGCTATCTAGCCCACATGGCTGTAGCTAGTTGATTTGAAGATCTCATCCAGCATCTTCCTTAAAGAAGACAAGAGTATCAGCAGATACAATATGGCTGGGTGCGTTGTTACACACTCTGGTAAATCAATTAAGCCAAGATGCAAAGTGCACCATTAAATTTAGATTTTTCACTAAGTGTTTCCTCATAAAAGTGGTGTCCAAATTAGGTGAACATCCAACCACTTGCATATTCTCAGAGGGTTATGATGCCCCACTACATTGCAGGGCACACATACATATGCTCACGCATACAGTAGGCCATTTAGAGACACCGATCATATTGTGTATGTCTTTGGATTGTCAAAGGAACCAGGGCACCAAGAAAAAAACACACAGACACGTGGAGAACAAGCAAACTCCTCACAAAAAGTGCCACAATCCTTAACAGGACCCAAGAACTGTGAGATAGCAATGTTAAATGCTATGACACCATGCTGCCCACTAAAAAATGGGGAAAAAAAGCTTTCAGTATGCTTAAATAATTTTAGGTCACTTATCACTGGATACTATAACAGAAACATCTAAAAACCTACTGTAAATAATCTAAGGCAATATGGCACATTTAAGTCCAGCTTCATGGGCTTATCAATGTGGCTTGCATGCTCTTCCAGAGCACTAAAAGGCTTTTGCCTTATGTTTCCTCTCATTTCCCAAGGACATGTGGTTTCGGAAGGTTTGACTGATGATTTCAAATACTTTCCAGGTGGTGTTTTTGGAACGGGAGGAGGGGATAATTAAGCGACAGAGAGCAAACGTGCACTATGACAGCATGGTTTCGCAATCCTGTTGTTCTTAGCAAAAGTGGACTCTCTCATTCATTTCCTCTTCCCTCTCTGAAAGCCTGCTGGGTCATCCCTAACACAGCTCGGGAGCCTGACACAAGAACAATGATGATGGGCCACTTACTGTCATGCCATACAGTGGGAGCTGCCCATGGACCTTAAACTGGTTTGATGCTGTCATCCCTCTGCTTGTGTACAACAAAACATCATTGAACTGTCATCGGAGGGGAACAGAAAAGTAGAGTTATGCTTGATTCTTATTTGAGAAAAATGACCCTTGTAATATTTGCTAACTGAATGCTATATTTTGGCCTAGTTCTTGGATGTCTCCTGGGAGCAGTCACAAAAATGCATCTGTATTGTCACAGGGCCTGAAGGATTTTTCTCAGTTTATGAACAAGCCTCCTTTGTGCAGAAACACAAGCTTTAAAGGAAATGTTTTGCTTAAATACCTTCAAATAACTTGATATAGAACATGTCTCTCTTACATACGTCTGTGCGGTCATGGATAATATTTGTGGTTGTCATTCTCTGGATACATTCCAGTAAAGGACAAAGAAATGCCTTTCATATAGACTAACATGAGTTGCCATGTGCAAGACCATTTGTCAAGATGTGATGCCAAGTCACACTGTGAATTACTGATCTGCATTTTAACCATGTATTCCAGCTTTATATTCTTGTGGAACAAACATGTCCATCAGCATTTCAGTTTTGTGTACAAAAGCACATTTCTGCTCTTTAAAATCTTAAGAAAGGCATTGATTAAAAGAAATGTGAACAAGTTTAATGTTTATGGATCAGGAGCAACATTTTAAACAACTGCACGATTGAATCTACATACAGGCTTTACAACAGTAACTCCAAAATAAATCTTTTTAAACTGCTGTTGGTGCAGACATTCTAAAAGTGAAAGAAAAACGTTACCAAGAAAAACATTCGCTGCTGCAGGCCTTTTCCAGAAAGCTTGCTAAGACAGCCGAGTCGGATAAATTCCTGGAAAAATAAGACACTGGTTTTAAAATCAAAAGGAACAAGCCATTAAGCTTTGAATAGTAATGCTAAGAGTAATAAAAAATCTGCATTGTGCTTCCTGGATACATGAAATGAAACTTTGTAGGGAAAAAAAGAAACCCCAAATCTCTGTGTAAACCACAGGAACAAACCTTTTAAACAACACTGGTATAATTCAATGCCCGGCAAAAGTGATTTCCTCCAGCAAAATTCTCCTCCAGCTAATATTCTTTTCTGCAAGCCGTTCATCATAAGTTGAAAAAACTAAACCAATCATTCGTAGTTGGTGACAAAAGATCACCCACCCGTCCAGGAATCACAAGATTATCGATGCCAATCAGATCCTTCTTTAGTTCAAGTAGCTTTTGAAAGTTCTCCATCTTTATCATGGTACCATGGAGCTGGCCAGCCATTTCCGAGATCTCTGCAAGAGCAGCTAATCGGGAAAAGAAAACACTACCAATCGTTAATGCAGCTCATTTGGTCCCTTATGCTACAACAGTATGCAGTCCTTTTTAGGTGTTTAATTTTTCATGTTATGTACCTTTAAACTTGTATTTGGTTGGTTCTGCATTCCAGTTAAAAACAATAAATGTAAGCTAATTACAAAACATGGCCTGAACTGCTTTTTCACTTTACACATAACATTTTGACACATCAGTCTCCCAAACAAAGTCTACAAATGGTGCTAATGACTACCTTGTTTCAGTTTTGCAGTTTACTAATAGATTTATCTATATTACAGCATACTTTTTAGGTCACTGTTGAACATCCATCCCCAGAAATATTCTTTTAAACAGAATAGAGGTAAATGTGATGTAAAATTACATGTACAACATTTAAAATAATTAAACATTCTATACCCAGAGATTAATACATATTCCTATAGGGCCAGTCCATCTTATAACTCACTCTTCCTATATGTCGTTTCACCCCCTATATGTCAACAAAGAATTGAGGAACTCAATGTAAAAATTCCCTGCACTTATGTTGTTTTTCAAGGACCCAAAAGCCAACAATAAATGTGGTTCATGAATTATTTTCTTTCAGAAATGAAAACACATTGTGGTACATTTGTGATAACAAAATCTATCATTAATAATTCTTCTTGTAGACAATACTGTTGCACGTGACATGATTACGAATCATTAGGCCCCAACATTGAAGTCAAGTTCTTAGCACCATGCAATATGACGCTTATCCAACCAATGTGTCAAGGCTTGACTGCTAACTTTAAATGCATGAACAGCATGTAGAGGGAAAAAAAAACATATCCTGGAGCAACTCTGTTGGTTTGAGGAGACAACAATTCAAAAGAAGATGGTGAGATTACTTATGTTTATTGTTTTTTGTGTGTTATAGGTACATTAAATGTATATTACCATGTCTGAACTGTATGTCAAGAACATATCTCAAGCTAATGACATTATTTCTTATGAATATGAATTCCTCTTTGTTAGGTATTTTGCTATTACATACTGTACAGTATGTCTGTATTATAGTAAATTGCATTATTCAGGAACATAACCTGGATTTGTAACAGGACCATCTGTACTGTATTTCTTTAGCTACAAAATAATGAAACAAATTTATCATCCCTAACCCAATACTATTTCCTTAATCCTGAACTCTCCTGATTTACATTGTTCTTATAGGAAAAAAAATCCCCCCTACCCGTCATTTCACTAATACGTGGCAACTCTCTGATCCCTGACCCTGGTGAATACCGGGGACTCCCTGTATCGGGATGTGCTGAAGAAGCAATATCAGCTACCTTTTAAAGAAAGGTAATGTACCCTGCTGTAGAGTGCAAAATAATCAGCATGCATCGGGGAATCAGAAAACATTACCATCACTAATCTGTTCCAGTTTAGGTTGCCTCTCTCCCAAAGACCCTTATTCTTATGTAAGCCAACACCTGTTATGTTATGTGGTAGTATTTGTTTGTCTGTGTTCCCCACTGAAATACACATCTGATCAAGAGTGATGGCTGGACTTAACTCTGGCTTACAAATGTACACGTATGCAGCTTTGAAATACATCCAACTAGGTAACAAATGGTTAACCGAGGACTCCACATTGTGTCCTTCTTGCGCTTTAGTAAAAGTCCTATGGCTCTGTGCTATAACCTCTTTGAAATAAAGGCTACTTCAAACTTGGCACAAAACGCTCAGCTGAAACATGCAGAGTACAGCATTAGGGTTAAGCTAAGAAAGCAGTTGACATGTTTGAAGGCACGAAGACATGGGTGGCAAGGGACATGAAGAAAACCCACCGGGCCGCGCTCCCTACCTCTGGAGTCCCTGAAGTCCACGTGGGTCGGGGGGTAGTGCTTGCAGAGGCGCTCCAGGATCTGCTTGTAGTGCATGAGGCGGTGCAGAGGCCGGAGGAAGAAGATGTTGAGGGGGAGGTAGCACACCTTCTGGAGCTCGAAGTCTCGGCACATAGCCTCCAGCTTCCGGGAGCTCCGGCAGGCTTTCTCCAGCTCCATCAGCACCTCCGAGTGCTTCTGCAACTGCGGGGTGAGTTGCTGTATGGAAACGTGACAAAGGCACTGAGTCCACAGGTATGGCCTGGGACAAAAAGTAGCAGAACAACCCAAAAGCGGAGACACTTTCCCCTCTAAAACGTCCATATAAAATCTCACCATTTGGTATGAACCCTCTAGTGCAGCTCTAACAATGAAGTATCAGTATTACAACATTGATATGCTTGGGCTTGATTTTTAAAGTGAGACAGGTCAACAGCAGCAGTCCAAAAGCCATTAAAGGCTACTCTAGGAGGAATAAAAAGTGGTGTAAGGACAGGTACAGATGGAAAGGTTTGTGCTGCAGTTGCTTATTTTGCGGTATTTTATTATTCGTACTATATGAAAGAATGTTTGTCTCAGTTAACCATGTTTTGCAAAAAGGAAATTAACCAGTAAGGAAGCATCTTTCCTCAAAAAAAGATCAATAGGCTAAGTGGATCACAAACAGTCCAGAACATAGCCTTGGATATACAGGGACTAAAAATAAATAATTTTATTTGTATTAAGAAAGAGTGCACTTTGTGTGGTCAGTGAAAAATAAAAAAGGACAGACCACAGAAAATAAGGTGCCTAAACTGAAATTTAAAAAAGTGTAAGGATTTAGCAGGGATTTGGGAACAACGATGTAGTCTCCTGCTAAAAGGGCACAGGCTTCATCGTTTCTTTTTCAGAAAGAAGTACTAAATCATTTAATGATGACTTCATAGTTCATTGTGAAAGGTAATACAGAGTAATCTCTGATTCAAACACCAAAAAACAGAAAAACCCCTAACCCTCCAAGTGAATTATCATTATCCCTGACTCGTCATAGTCTCTCTAATGGCAGGTCGAGGCAGTGTAACAAAAGCAGGGAGGGATTGTGGAGTCTGAACTCATGACCGCACCAGTTGTGAGTTCAAATTCCCAGGTGGAAATACTACTGATGTACCTTGATTTACCCAAGCAAAACCAGCACCATAAATGGGTACTGTAAAAAAAATTAAGAATTGCAAACTCTTGAAGTAGACTTGAAAAAAAAGATCAGCCAAAATAAGTTAAGAATTAGGAAATATATCCAATATTAAATCCAATGCAGCAAACAATTATCTCCATACAGCCCTGCTCTCTGGCTTAGTGAACCACCTGGCACACAGTGACTGCTTTATCAGCAGGATCTCCGTTATGCAATAGTGTTTAATTAGTTTTTGCGATTAGGAAAAGGAGAAGTGACCGTTAAACACAAGATGCTAAAAATGAAAAAAAATAAAACAACCCCGCAGGACAAACTCAGGATGAAGCCTTTAAACTCAGCGTGGAGGTAGAGGCTGTGGTGTTAGCTCATAATTAGTTCTTCTTGTGGCCTAGAGTGCCTCCTTTTCAAGCCATCTGCTTCTCCTCATGTCAGGATGAAGAGTTTGCCATGCAACTCAGAGCAAAACAACGCATTATCTCGGAGCACTCCTTTGATCTTCAGCTTCTTTTTTCCTTTTTAATTACCAGAGCACAATCATTTAAAGGGCATTTTAAATGCTTAAAAAACAGGAGAAAATAATGATCACCACACAGCAGATGAAAAACGAGAGGAAAGTAGCACAGGAAAAGCTGTAACTAGCTGTAACATAGGAAATATGCTATTCAAATTTACACAGCACCATGATCAGTGAAAGTGTTGCACTTTCCCCACAAAGAAAATGTCCTACATAAATACAGCAAGATTACTTTTACACTTTGACAAACTAGCACAATTTATACAAACCCCAAAAAAGGAACCTATTTTTGTTTGACTTAATATCTGGTGGAAATTAAAACATTAAAAGTGCAAAAAGTATTTTTAAGCCAATTAAAATTGATGGGCACTTTGCATCCAGTGGTGCAGAAAAAAAAAGTTACACTGGTGTATGACATGACTGTCATGGTGAAGCGCTCCAGACAAAAATGGTAATATATGTTTCATCTTAACAGCAGGAAGTGGCTGTTGCTTAGAGCTCATTATTAAGCCGAGGTAAAAGCCTTCCAATTCGCCTACAGTCATTTACAGGAGAAATTGTCAGGAAAGAACACAGCTACCATATTCCCACATGCATGAGAAAAACACCAGGAAGAGCATAAAATGTGATATCCCACTAGTCTTACCTTCAAACCCTGCATGTTCTTCAGCATCACGTCGCCAATCCTTTGGTAATCTCCTTTGATGTGTGCATTTGAGCGGCCTTCCCTATTGCATATCAAAAGAGCAAGGTTTAGACTAATTACCCTTTTTGATTTTTACTTTCATGAAACCTAGCTACATGGAACCATGACAAAATCAGAATTGCAGTGGTTCCTGGGTGAATAAATGCATTCAGACACCTACACTGTTACACATCCTCATCTGCCATTCTGCAAGAGTCCTGCAATTCATTAGCCAGCAGATGTCAGTGTTGGGCTGGTTTCACCTCCTGAACTATAGAAATGTTAGACTATACAGTAATTATCAAAGATTTATTTTCATTTCCCCCTTTCTTTTAAGCAAAAATCATCACATAAAGACTAAGATAATGAAAATCATCTAAGAAAATGAGCACCACAGATAATGCATTCATTTTTTCTCCCACGAATCCTAATTCATTAAGCTTCAAGGTAAATAACATATTGATAACACAAAGGTTGACTTTGGAATACCTCTGATTCATCCAGGTTTACCGATGGAAAAAAAACCCAACTCATAAAGAAAACAAATCATAGCAGAGGATTTTGTTAAATGGTATTTTTGTCTGTTAGACCCACTTATCATTGAGCTACAAGAGTGGATTTTTATTCAATATATTATTTATATGGATGTATTATATTTATACTCCATATATTTTCTGGCACAACAGAGACAGCATCTTCAGAGCTGTCATGTCAATCCACAGCCACTCCCACAATTTAAGCTACTACCAGTATTTTCAGTCCCTCTGGATATTATGTGCACTCTAGGATGCCAGATCTCTCTTTAATGCACAGATGAAACAGCCTACATGAACTGAGAGAAACAGAGACTGAGAACTGAATGATTGCTATAGAGACCATTGCTCCACAGTCAAATAGGCCTAAGTACCATATCCAAATCATATGTAAAGTTACCAGGAGGCCTTATTAATACATATTTGTATTTTGCAGGCCATGTTGTGATGTTCCTATTTAAAAGGAGATTTGCCAATTCTGTGGCACTCATATGTAATTCTAATAAATGTCATGTTGTTGAACCAATGTTTTAATTTCCATATAAAGTCTCTATTGTTCTACACTGCCAGAACAAAAATAAAATGCTTAGATTGAAGTCTTATAGTAATTAAATGAAAAAAATTTAAACAGTTACTGTCCTCCCCACAGCCGAAGGACATGCTTAAAGCTTGACTATACTCCCTGGGCTAAAGATAATAAACAGTAAACATTAATCTCTCCCCCCAGATTAACTGAGTGTAAATCAGTAAATCAAAACGCTGTAAGAGATGTGTCTTACCACAGCGCAAGTCTCTGCTCAACTTCTTTCAGGAACCCAGCATGAAACTTGTAGAGGGGGTCAAAATTTGAGAAGATGATGTTCCTGAGAGAATCAGGCGTCGCCTCATCTTTTCCCACAGCATTCTGGAAGGACTGTGATGATGATAAAGAAATGCCACAGTTACAACCCACCAGTTAAAAATGGTGAACTTCAAAATGCCTAAAAATTTCACACCAAAGCATCTATCCATTCATTTTCTGTTTTATTCCAAAAAGATTTGCTAAGGAGCCAGAACCTATCGTGGCAAACAATGGGCACAAGGACAGATACACTCTGAATGGGACACCAGTCCATTACAGAGCAGACAGACACAAACACACACCAGAGTCAATTTTCTCAGAAATCAATTAAAGAAACAGGAAGAAACTGGAGCAACCAGAGGAAACCCATACAAATATGGAGAGACCACACAAACTCCATACTGATAGCACCCCAGGACTTGCACACAAAACCTCAGTGCTGAGAGACAGTAATACCACCAGCAAGACAGCCCCACACACATTTAGGCATGTTACATGAAAAAATCTACAGGAAAAGTCAAAATCAGTAAACCCCAGGTTTATGGTTCAATGAACCCTGAGAGCACAAAATCAGAATTAAATACTAGAGAGTGCATAAAGGTCACATTAGTTATCCACTGTGGTGCTGGTGGCAGATTAGTGCATTTGTGAGAAATCAGTTACACAATTTTGCCATTTATAAAAATGAAAAAAAAACACAAATCTAGCAGCAACATCAAAAAACATATGATTAGCAAGTGCTACCCCACGGTTCCTACAAATGGCAATTATGATCTATTTGAGTTTCAAAGCACTGAAAGAAACCATAGAGAAGAAACACCTGCCTATCACTGGGCGATTTAAAGGATTTAAATTAAGAGCATCTGGAAGATGACAGGGGCACCAGAATGCGATTATACTATTAATAATGTAACACACTTTGAATTCTAATGTGTCCATTCAGTAATCTACTAAAAAAACTTGCAAAAATCTATATTCAATCCTCTAACCAATCGCTAGTTTATTATAGTATCGTGCTTCATGATTCAAAGTCTATGCATTCTTTAACCAGACACATATCTGATCAATAGAGGAATCAATATCTAGATCGCATACTGTAAGACAGTCCTTTAAAGGCTAATTTGTTAAGCACTCATTAAGAACTGAAATCAGTAGAAAATGAAATAGCCTGAAGTCTTTAGAAATTTTATTTTTCTTTATGTCAAGTGGGTGCATAGAAACCCCTCAGACAGGGGGGCCTTCAGATGCAGATGACCACTGTTCATTTTAAGCAGGTTCTTGGAAAGGGATGAAGGCGGATCTTCAAAAGACTCGCGCTCAACAGGGATCAGGCATAGTAAAAATATGTTAAAAAAAAGTGATTTCAAGAACTGCTTCCAACAAAAATATTTAGATTTTGTACAAACCCCTCTTGGCCTTTTTGAAATTTCCCAAGTGGTAGTGTTACGGAAATGTCTGCTAGAGAACTGAACCACTGGAACAGAACCAAACTGTTTCCAGAATCTCTTGGGTTCTGGTAGTTGCATTTCCATATTTTCGAAATGGGGGACCTGAATGAAACCCATTTCATAGCTGCTACACATCTGAGGCTTTATTTGGTATCTGGTTAAGTGCTTTAAAGTTGTACATTCTAGAATAGCACACATTCTTGGTTTTATGGATGAGTTTAGTAGTTAGGTACAGTATGTGCAATTTTTGCCTTTTGACTTTATGTCCTTTACTTGCTTGTGGTGGTCTGTGTCTTAATATTTATATTGCTTCCTTAATAGGAAGACAGTTTATGCACAGCTTTCAAAGAATGCAGATATCTAAAAATCTGTTATTCATCATTTCAAAGCTAAACACTTTGCTCTTTGTGTAACTTTAATTTCCGTTTATGAGTCTCCATGGTACAGTATCTAAGACTGGCGATTTGTTGTAGATTTTAGACTAAGACTAAACAGCAGCTGTGAGGAGCAGTGGTCAGGGCTCTGGACTCATAACTTCAAGGTTGTGGTTTCAAACCTGGGGAGAGATACTGTAGATGTACCCTTGAACTAGATACCTCACTCATACTGCTTTAGTAAAATTCCAAGCTGTAATAACTATGTAGAAATATATGTCTAGATAGAAGTGTCATCCAAATTCATAATGAAATGCTGTTGCTCCATGACCTGATCATTTTTTTTTTAACTTAAAACGCAATCAGCACTGCAATTTTGTGAGCACCAGTGAAACAATCTGGGGAACTACATTATGCCCAGGTTTCACTCCTCGTGTGGTGTCGGAATCTGCCAAGCCTCCTGCTGAAAGGTTTCATGTCATTCAAGAATGCCAAAGTCACTATCCCCTTAGATGCTGCCTGGCTTTAGTGCTGCCAACATACTGATATGAGTGCTTATTGGTCCAGGACAAGAAGAGAAAATCAATATCAAATAAATCAAGGGTTTGTTCACTCTGTGTAGATTTAACACAGAAGACAGTTTGCCAACCTGACCGCTCTCTTGCCTTTTTCCAAATGATGAGAGGGCAGAATCTTCAGTCCAGATAGGCTCCCCACAGTCATTTAGAGTAAAATTTTTGCATCTTTATAAGATGGATATGGATAAAATGCTGACCTATTCCCTGCATTATTAAAATGTAAATATTAAATGTGTAAAATGGATACTTTTACTAATCTCTTGTTGACCACAGCGTTGGGGCAGCGTTGCGTAGTAGTGGGTTTGTAAGTTTGTAAGTGGTCTTACTTACAAACTTACAAACTTACAAAGTGGTCTTTGTAAGTCCCAAATCAGCTACAGAAAAGGGAATTGTCATTTTTGGGGTGTAATCACTATGACGGACTAGTGTCTCTTCTGGGGGGGTGAACTCAGGATGATCTCTGGTCCAATGAGCTATTGCCTTTTAGATATGGAAATGCATAGACCACAGAGTACCGTTGAGGTTTACATATGTGACTAAAGTGTATTAAGAGGGCTTATTTTTAGAATTTATTTTATACCTTTAGTATAATGTCATAAAAAAATAATTCCACCCTAAAAGTCCAGAGAAATGCACATTTTAAAATTATGTTCAGAAAATAATATGAAATTGTTTGACAAAACCATCTGAGCCACTGAAATTATTGTTGAAACTTAAAATCCTCTGGGCTACTATGGCTTAAATTGCATTGTGTTTTCCATGCAGTAACTAATGATGCCATCACCCCTAACAAGCAAAGTCTTCTGATCTTATCTTGTAAGGTTCCTAAATAAAAAATACATTTAACTTTTCACAACCTGTTCACAGTAATTCACCCCATCTGGAGAAACTTACCACGATAACAACCTCCAGGTCCTTCAAGTATGTTCTCTCAGTAGTCAGCAGCTCTTTGGCAATGAAGTAAGCTTTGTCTGTGGGAAACCTCTGGAAAAGCAGAAAAAGAAAATCACTCAATGGCCGTTCTTCTTAATACACACTATTAATGCTACCAGTGCTGTGCTAAGCAGTATAAGGTCCATAATTTAATAAAACCTGTAAACCTTGCTGCTTAGATTATCCAAATAAGTTAGGCTGCAATTGGAAGGAGAAACAAGTGAAGTTCACAATAAGTTAGAACAGATAAAAGCAGGGCACTTGTGAAGGGTTTCTGGCTGGACAAATTACAATACATCTTACATTTCACTCACCGTCCCAGTCCACCCAAAACAAATTTGAAATATCTTGACTTGTGTCTCAGTTTGCGTGATTGTTTCATATCCCAAATTACTTCTGTAAAATACCCTGGTCTTGAATGCAATGCGAAGTGACATAAGAACATACAGTAAGAAGGATTACAAACAGGAGGAGGCCTTTCAAGCCCTCCAGCCTGTTTGGTTATTTAATTGATCCAAATAGTAGTTTGGTTGTTCACTGATCCAAGGATCTCACCCAGTCGGTTCTTGAAAGAAAACAGGACATGGGCTTAAAAAATATGTCTGGATAGCTTGTTCCAGATTCCCACAACCCTTCGGGCAAAGAAGCGCCTCCTGTTCAATTTTAAATGCACTACCATGTAGTTTCAACTTGTGCCTTCTTGGGATACTCCCAAGCAAGTCTCTTCATTGAGAGCACTGCAGTAGCTGCCCTGTTCTATAAATGAATGCGTTTCAGGTTGTCATTGCAAATGGGAATCTGCTCTTAATGGACTTTTCTGACGAAAAAAAAAGAGATTGAGAAATGAAATGTTAAGTATACTAGTTACCCCGCTCTCCAAAAGCCATTCAAAAGTAAACCCCACCACAGTATTTTGTAAAAGCAAGACAGGATATTAAACACAAACAAGGAAAAGCAGATCTAGACAACATTTACAGTAAATTTTCTATGATATGATGAGCCCAATCATCTCCACCAAGCACTGTTCTCTGACTCAGTGAACCACCCGGCGGGCAGTGAATGTTTAAGCAGCAGGGATCTCCATCATGCAATATTGTTTAGTTTATTTAATGAGCCCCACATAAAATAAAAATATTATATCAATCTGCATTTCCTTGTTTAAGTTTATATCCCATGTTGCTTTTGGACGGGGATCACTATTCCAGAACTATTATCAGGTTTACTGCCAGTGTTGTGTTTCAAAAAGCAAGGACCCCAAACCTTCCTCCTGACTTCGTCCTCATCATCGGTGCGCACACACCCTGCGTCATTGAGCAGGGGGCTGGTGAGGGGAGAGGGCTGCCTAGCGTCTGGGCTCAGACCAGGGGACAGGATTTGCTTCTTTGCCGCCAGGCCTGCCTGGGAGTTCACAGAGTTCTCCGACAACCTCGGGCTGCTCGTCGCAGAGCCTGGAAGAAATCAGAAAAGAGGGTTGAAGGGGAGAAAATAAAGGTACTTGGGGTGTTTTGCGCAGGTGTCACTTCAACTTCTACACGGGACCTTCAGTTCGATAAAAGGACATTGCAGAAACAAGTAGAGAATCAGTCTGATGCCAGCTATCCAGCGTTTAACTGATTATAAGCTGAAACCAACACTGCCAAAAACCCTAAATAAATCCCTATGCTAGTCTTAAGGAACTCATCTCAAAGAACTACTCATTTTTTATTTCATATTCACTTTTGTTTTTAATTTTCCAGACTTGCTAGCAAACCATACACAATGTACTATTTGTGTTAGGTTCAATGAATAATAGCTGGTGAGGCTCACTATTTATATTTTATGGCCTGCAATTGAAAACATCAAGAAAATGACTACAGTATATTGCTTGATGACATACTTGCCCATAACTGCTTTCTGTCCTCTGATTGCACTATAATGGCATGAATAAAACAGCAGTTAAGCTCAGATTACACTTCTATTCTAACTCTAAAACAGAGTTACAAACTAATGAAAGAATGCCAATGACGACAACTAGGAAACTCTCAACTGCGTTCACCATACACACACACACTACAAACACATGCATGCCCACACAGTACATGTATATATTATACCAGATTATATATATATACATGCAACTAAACAGACTAATGTTCTAGCTAGCACGTTACAACAGGATGGATGGGGTTCCCTAGTGCCTACATGATCACAAGACATCATTTGGTGTCTAAAGAAGATACCAGAGTCCTGCTTCACAAACGTCAACTTTATTGACACTAGTGCACAACCTTATACAGTGTTAAAAATTGTAAAAACCTTTCAAAAAGAAATATCAAAACAGCAGTAGAAGAAACCAGTGGGTTTTTTTTTCCAAAAAGGAATCCCAGCTGAAGACTACAAAATACAAAGTGTGAGAGAGAGATCGAGTGACACAAACAGCAGCACAGAAAAGCTCTGAGATTGTGCAGATACATTCTGGGGCCCAATGCAAAGGATGGGCCTATTGCTTAAGAGCAGAAAACAATGTCATTGTGGTTAGGTGTTACAATGAACAAAGCCCTCATAAATCACTGTTTGCCAGAAAGTCCAGTTATTTTCCGTTTCTGTGCTTGTTGTGAAGGATGTGAAGGATCAAACAGTTAAAAATACAAAGAATTAAAGACATTGTGCTTTTTACTTCAAACAGTCTTTGTGCCTAAGCTTTTCCAACACCTTGGCAGCAGAAACACAAACAGGAGGCTCATGGACAGTCTGTCTGTTTTGTTCTTGCCAATTTGTCTTGTTCAAGACCTAGATAAAGCAGCACATTCATCAGCAGGTGCCCTATTTCGTGCAAACTGCAGCTGGAATGCTGTGGTATCATGTAAAAAACATATTGCTTTAAAAAACCCATGCACCATTCTCTGCACAAAACAAGTGTGAAACAGAGAAGACAAATAGAAAAAGTAAACTTTGATTTTTCTTTATTAATAAACTCAAAATTAGGAGAAAGAAGCTTTATAAAATATTTACCCCTCAGACCAACTGATGAATGTGCTGTTTTATGGCACACAGTAACAGCTAAGCAAGAGGTTAGACAGAGGTTGGAGCCAAGAATGGCTCCGCAGAGTCACAGTCTTGTTAAAACTGTTGAAAAAGCTATGGAATAAACACCATGCGTGAGACCAGCCACCTTCCCCTGACATGCTGTACCAGGTACAGTGGACAAACCGTTACAAACCAAGAACTGTGGCATCACAGGTCCATGCTTTACACCAAAAGCGTGGAGTTAGGATTGGTGAGTACAAAGCAAACAGGCCTGGAATGTTGGCTTACATATTAGGTGCTTGCAATGACAATGCGATGCAGCAGTTAACTTTACTGATATAATAATAATGGGCATATACCAAATATCTAAGTCTACCAGAATTTACGGATAAAATATGAAATGAATATAAAATTAAGAGCGACAAACTTGCAAGTATCACCTTTGGAAACCAACATCCACTCTTTTGCTGAATGCAACAAAGTTACTCTCTGGGTCTGCAGTGATCCCGTTACTGATGATAATCCTGTGCTTCTTAAATAATTGCTCTAAAATGCAGACGCTTATAAAGATATATCACAACTGTTTTAAGATTAACTGTGGACTTCTCTTTAATCAATTATGGAGGTTCAAATAAACACGGGCAAGCTTATAAATACCTTGCAACCACAGACTTCCCTCCCTTCATGGTTGCTCTGATTATAAATGTGATGTTGAATCAAAGAAAAACCCTTCTTTTTAAACAAAAGAGAGAGGAATCTGTTTGTTTTTAAGAATTACTAATGTAAAAGAAACCTCTCTAAGCCTTATAATCATGCTTCTATACATGTTGTGTTGTAGGTTTTCATTTTTCTTACTATTTGTGAAGCACGGCAACCTGCACAAAGAACTTACCTCAAGCCCTGGCTCTCAGACTTTGACTCTGAACCAAAATTACAAATCACCTCAGGTTTAGAGCAAAGAAAAATGAAAATTAGAAAATTCTTCCATTGTTCTTATTGAGTATTTGCTTATCATACATCTTTAATGCTACAAGTTATGGAGGAGGGCTTGACAAGCAGGTTGTTTGGAGTTTTACTGTCCACATATCATGACAGATGTAAGAAAGGTAAACAGTAGTAATAGATACCTGAACCTTTAGCTGAAGACATGAGTACTCAGCCTCCCATCAATCTGAAGTAAAATAAAAGAAATAAAAGCAAATGCCTGCTCCAGGAATTAGCAAAAGCACACAGCCATGATGAACAATGAAGATAACAAGCCACGGGATGCTGCTGTGTATTTTCTTTGACACAAATGTAGCATGCGACACCAATCGAATGTATTTGTGAAACCCCATGTTCCTTCTCTCAAAATTCGTTTTCTCTTCATTTTAAATTTGCTCAGTCTGATTTCCTTCAACACCACTCTATCTATGCTCCAGTTACCAGGATCACTGCATTAAGGGAACAGAGAGTTTAACTTCCCCTCTTTGCCCCCCGCCCTCCCATCACCCAATTTACAAACGGTTAATCTTTCCAAAATAACAGAGTATCTGGACAGTGCAGGAACAAGAGGTACACCATGCTTTGAGGAGAGAAGAAGAGGACAATGAGAGACTTTACTCCCAGAAGTACATGCTGACGCAACAGTGCTTACATTGACAGAAAATTAAAAAAGCATTGTATTAGATATAAATATATTTCAATAAAATTAAAAAAAAAACTTCAAACAAATGACAATAATGAGCATGAAACCCCAGCAACCTTGACTTTATAAAAGAAAAAAAGAAGGAAAACAAAGAGCAAAAGTATTGCTTTTGGACGGCCTGTATGTGCCCACAATGAATGCTTGAAAGACAGTTAAGCAAGTGAATCATGCTTTGCCAGGCTTGGGCATTGGTTAGTGCCATAATCAACTCAGCCCAGCGGGAAATGAAGAAGAAACAAAAAGATTTAAGACAAACAATACATACTTAGGGAGCAGAAAACCAACTGACCTTTATAGTGTATCACTACAAGTCAAACCTACCTGTAAGTTTGGTAAAAAGGCCTTACTTGACCATACAGCTAACTCCACTGCACAATGACATCTCCATGACATTGTAATAAGACCAGATCTGCCTCATAGCAAAGCAAAGGTTTACTGAGCAAGAGCTCCAACAATTACCAAAGTGATATCTTCAAAATATACCATAGAACAGCACTGTAAAATGCAACTGTAAAAGAGTTCACAAGTGTTTCTTTTCACAATAGGTTATTTAATGTTTAGAACATCTATTTTTACTGTAATGAAGTCTACAGTAGATCTGAAATATAGTCATTGTCCTAACTCAAAAGCAACTGAAACAGGAAGTGTTAAGATGGCACAATTCAGTTATTTGAATTATTGCTAATCACCTTTTGTGGTTTTAATTTCATTGGAAGATTAAATGTATGTTTATCCTGGCGAGCGAATTAACAGTTACAATTTTAAGCAGTTTAGCAAGTCTAGGAGGGTGTGAGTAATATAGCAGACTCCAGCTTTGGATACAAATTGACAAGCAGATCGAAATTTCCAGCAAATTAAACAGACACTTGATGAAGCTGGCTTTGAAAATGCACTACAGGAAAAACGAAGGTTTTCTCGTTGTATTTATGCAAATTAAAATGTAACAGAAGTCACGTTTTGTGTTGCAGATAGCATAATGAACATCCCCACCGGGTGTTAATTTTACTGTCAATCCAGAGATGGATTTACTCTGACTGTTCAAATAAGTACTGGGGTAATACTGAAAACACACACTGTAAAAGTAAGAATCATAGATCCCACTGATTAGCTACATAATCAAGGTGAAAATTAAAAAAAGAAAGAAAACGAAATCCTTTCAGGACGTATTAATCAAATTTATCACTCTTACACTTACAAGTACCACCAAAATATTTACCTATTGCACACGCCTATTATTTAAAAAATCGTTAGAAAAGCAGACAGCAAGTGCACAATTTAAAAAAAATCCTACTCTAAAAAAAACTAGAACCGCTAATTCATCCGTTTACACAATATCCACAAGTGTTAAATGTTTCTTTCAAATAGAAATAAAGGTAGATGAAGGCATATTACTGAATGCTTGGACTTGGACTCCTTCAAGCACTGCAGAAAGTGTTTCCAAATCAGACTCAACATCCCCTTTAAGACAACCACTGCTTCTTACATAAATGCCTCTAGAAGAACAGAGCCTGTAAAGAGCGTCCTGCAACTGAGCCTGCTCTTTTGGCTGGAATATAATATACAGGTACTCAAGGCTTAGTATACACAATAAAGCCCGTCAGGTGAGGTTACAAGATGTGTATCTTGTGCTAGTCACCTTGTTTCTTGTTGCAGCACAGTGCAACAGTAGTAGACCGAGCATTTGTGAATCAAAACTACAGGTAATGGAACCCACGAGAGGAATAAGCCATTACAAAAGTAAGATTTCATTAAAACCAGCATGTGGAGTTTAAAATCTCTTACATTTTTGGCACACCTACAGTACATACTGTAGGATGCACCAAGACAACTCCACTTTCTTGAGTTTTGTTTTAGAAACTGTGGCAAGAGGGGTTGGCACTTAGAGGGGCTGTTTTCAAAACTGTTCAATTCCAAAGCACAACCTTCCGCCGCACCACTGCCTTCAGAGGAAAAGACGTCATTCTGTCATTCTTAATTTCTCTTTGAGTGAGAAAGAGCCACATTAATCCTCTACAGTTTCCACTTATTTCAGAACCTTCAAGGGCAGCCTTTCCTTTGAACTATAAAAGGTGTGCATTACACCCTGAATGAAAAAGCCTTTCATGTATCCTTCTTAATCTCTAAACAGATGTGCCCTCACTACTGGAGAGCAGGAAATCCCCCGCCCCCCCTCCTCCATGCAGATGTTAAGGTTTACTGTACATTCCAGCTCAGTCATTTGTGCCTTGAGGGTCACATGTATTCTGATAGAAATGGAAGGCAAAAGGCTTTCTTGCACTTGTATGTGACATCTTGTCTAAAATAAGAAGCTGTAATTATCCGAACACCAACCCAATGAGGTCAGGTGCCCCATCGTAAAACAAATAGGATAGTTTTGCATTTCTAACAGCTGAAGATTTTACCACCATCTTCATCACTTAAGTTAAAACACCCATCCTCCTCTATCTCTTCATCTAACTGCAGGCTCCCAAAGGAATACTTGTTTCTAGGCATTGGCGATGAGCTCACAGCAATTGGATTGCCGAACATGAGAGGGTGGCTATAAGGGTTGGCCATTTCGGACTCGGAGTCGCTGGATTCCGTGCCACTACTTGTGGACCCATCGATCATTTGAACAGCCCCTACGTGGTCTACAGCACCACCACTGAACAGCCTCTGCATAGCTGGGCTCAACTTGGCCTGCCCTGGGGCAGACAAGCCATTGGCCATCATTCGCCGCTCCAAAGCAGCCATTCGCTCTGCTTTGGAGAGGTTTCCAGGCCGATAGTCATTCACAGGGGTGGAGGTGACTTGACTGAGGATGAAGGGGTCTGTATCCGAACGATTACGAGCGTTCTGCAGTTTCTGCAGGTGAGGCCTACCCACAATCGGTGAATAGTTGCCATACCGTTGGCCTGTCTCCCTGGACTCAGGCTTAGAACTAAAACAGTGGCCATCCTCCCTGTGATTAGCCTTGGAGCCAAGACCATTCTGCTCCAGGTAACTGTGAGAGCCAGTCCTGTTAAAACTGCTCATGTGGGGACTAGAGCTCTTGCTCCCCGGTGTGTGTGGGGCAGTCAAGGGGCTGCGGTTTGCTGAACCTCTGAAAATCTCATCTACAAGAGTGCTGTGTCTTGGCATGCGAGGTGTACTGCTGCCATAAAATAAGAAGTTGGTTGGTTCCTCATCATTGAGCTCTTCGGTGAAATTGTGTGGGGGACCGGAATAGGGAGAGGCGTCCCTGTATCTACCTTTGTTCCAATTTTCCTCCCTTTCCCGAGGGTAGAAACCGTTACTGCCACTACTTCGAATTACCGGTTCATCCTCATAATTGTCATTTGTTTGGGACTGGGACCTGGTGACGCGGCCCTTTACCACGTCATACTCGCTATCTATGTCACTGCAGTCAATATAAGGGATGGAGGAGCTGCTGCCCCTGGCAGCCCGGGATGCTGGACCTGTGCTCGGTTGCTCCACTTGCTGCTTGCCCTGCGAGAGCTGGCCTTTTCCTTTGCTGCCCCCATCCATCAGCTCGGCCCTCCTACCCTCGTGGGGGCTCCGGCGGGATGAGGGGCTGGGGCGCTGCTGGGTTCCGCCGGCTTCGTCCGCGGGCTCCGTCGCCGGCTCCTTCACTGGCCGCAAGGATTTCATTGGGGAGTCCAGCTGGTCTGCAGCAGTGCTGCCGGGGCTCTGAGAACAGGCGACAATGAAGAGAAACGTGCCGTGACACGCGACATCAGAGCAAAACATTTAATGCTCCCTAACAAACCTAGGAGCAGAAGCAAGAGAGGGTTTATAACCTTTTGTAAACCAGTTTATCCTAGTTAATTTTCTGATGTATGTTCCAATTAGATAAGTGCTTGAGCAAAAGTAAACTGTTTTCTTCACTATAAGGACTTCAGTCAATACAGCTGGCTATGTAAAAAGGTATACGTTATAAAACAAAAGAACAGCACTGACTGCTATACTCCCAAAAATTTCCAGACAATTGTTCCACCCTTCATGGGCTCCCACTCAATTTTTACAATGTATTTGATAGATACTCTTGTACATGTTCTGTCTACAGCTGCTCTATCGGATTATATCTATTAGAGGCTGACCAGCAACACAAGGTGACAAAAATGGTGCCAGCAGCAATCCCACCTGATCGGTACTAGGATGAGAGATCTTTAAGGAAAGCCAGATTCCTGCTGTAAGTGATATTAGTAGAACAGTAGGTACAGTAGCACTTCTCTTTGGACCTAAATGTCCAAACCAGTACCTCCTATGGCTACTGGGAACACAGTACTTTTGCTGTAGGAGGTGCTATTGTTCAGAAAAGATATTAAACAAAGGCCTAGCAGCTTTCAAAGGAATAGGGATGTTAACCCCTGTGTCCTGGCTAAATTCCACTTATCCGGCTTATCCAGCTTTTCACTTCTCCACCTGATCCAGGTCTGACCTGGACCCCTTGGAGGTAGTGGCTGAGAGAGAATGATGTCCAAACTAGAGGCCATCATGGACAACTTCTCCCATCCCTCTATGACAGGCTTGCTGGAATGTAGAGCACGTTCAGCAATAGACTGATTCATCCACGGTGCGACAGGAAGCGCTACAGGAGGTCATTATTGCCGTCTGCCATAAGACTGTACAACGCATCCATCTTGCGTCTGGGCAGAGGCAACATCGACAGTGACCTGTTTCTGGACTAAACGCATCTACACATCTACTGCTACATCTGTTCTCTTTCTTTTTCTTTTTCCCCGTTTACAACCACTTTTTGTGTAATATATGCCAGGGACCTGTGCAATACATTTATATTTATATCTATAGTTACATCTATATTTATATTCATATGTGTGATACGATTTTCTGTGTACTGTTCTGTTCTAGTTTGTTCTTGTGTGTCCGGACTGTGAGTAACTCTTGTATTGTATTGTATGTATTGTACTATTATTATCTAATTCATTACACTGTGACTGTGTTGTGTGTGTTAAGCTGCTGTTGCACTGCAATTTCCCTCACGTGATCAATAAAGTATCTATCTATCCGCTCTGTAGCGTGGCTGCTGGCAAAGAAGGGCTGCACATCACTACTGGAAGAACTGGTACTTTCCTATATGCAAAACGCTCTGAGATCTTTTGCAAAGAAAAGTTCTATACAAAGACCAGCAATGATTAATTTGAAGGATTAAACATTGTTTCACTGACTGCAATACTGACTTGCTTTGGCACTTCGGACCGGCGCTCTGAAGGCTGTGGAGACAGTCCTGTGTTAGACTGGATCTTACTGTGCTTCCTGGAAGACAATGAACCAAAGTAAGGAACAACTGTGCAATCTCTGTAAAGAACACGTTAAACAGACTTAATTAACTGGCAAATGCTCCTGCTTCTAAACTTCCGCTTTCTGCCCCGATCAATAATTAGAAGTATGCCCAGCCTTCAAACTCCCTGAGGTAAACAAATTGAATCAAACAGACAAGCCTCAGTCTCAGTCTGCCCAGGAATCCTCTTCCCTTGTAGTCTATTTCAGAAGAGATTCCAGATCAGCATCAATGCATGAGGCTGATTATTAGAATCATTTCAGATTCAAATTGAAAAGATCAATCTCAAGGTACACCAGTAACTATTAAAGAGTCAGATTACCATTAGGACTAGACACACCTTCAATAAATTACTCCATCAGCCCCTGCATCACAAGATCTGTATTTGTTTCAAGTTTAATGCATAACCAAAACATTCTGAAATCAATTTATTTGGACATTTGAGTGAACCCAGTGATCCGGAATAACACTGACTTTCTGTGGATTACATGTTACGTTTGTTCATTCCTGCTGCAAAGCACAAAAGACATTGTATTTCCAAACTTGACTGTAAACACAAGGTGGTTACCCAGGATCCTTCTGGAAGGAATGACACCAAACCTTTTTTTTATCAGTAGTGGAAAAGGATCAGCAAATATAGTGGAGGACCATCTATGATGTCACACAAGAGGCATGCAAAAAAAACAAAAAACTATCTCACCTTTCAAAGGGAACCTTTTTGAATTCTGAATCCCTGACATAATCAAGCACCTGCTTCTGTGTCCGACCACTAGAAAAAGAAAAACAAAAACCTCTTGTAATATATGACAATAATCTATGACAACTGATACATCAAAAGCCCAATTAAAGGTGGATGAACAGTGCAGTAATAAAAAATGAATACTACCATATCCATTTCAATGGCAATCTAAATTAGTAGCCCAAGAGTTCATTATTTTTTGTATTTTGGCCATTACGTCTTTATACTCTTTTCCTGACTTGTGAAAGGGTTCATTATAACATTCTGAAATCATATTATTTCCTAAATCTTGTAAGAAAGTTCCTTCTTTAAGGCATGAAATAGGAAAATCTTTAATTTTGCCTTCATGCAGATCTTATCTTTTCCTGTATTATGTCCAACTGGCTACATTCACTGAAACAATTAATCCCACATGCTCCAGAAATCTTTCCTTTTGAATGAAAATTTTCCTCCAGAATCATGACATTTTTAAATGTTTGTTAAACACCAAAGCATTCTAACATACAGTAAACATAGTTTACATTTGTAAAAGCACAGTAACGTGCTGCCACCATTTTTTAAATCCAGACTGGAATTATTCCTGAAATTGAAGAAGCTTACATTTCACACCCCAAAATCCATGTCGGACTCCTACAAATATATTACTGATTACCGATTAATACACAGTTTTTACCAGGGATTAAAAAAGATGCAGGAGTGACGAATGTACTGGAGAGTGAAAATCAATGAAGCACTCTGTTTAGGTGCCTGCATGAAACGCATTTTAATGGCAGAGATGATCTCAGCAAAGCCTACTTCAAGGAGATAAGATAAAGATAGCCTGCTGCCTTCCAGTGAAATTTAAATTAACCAACCCCGGCACACTGACACCAAAATAGAAACTATATAACGTGGAATAATTTGATTCTTACTTTTAATAAAAGCCCTGCTGGGAAGTGTGAGTATACCTGAATCTGAAAGAAGAGCCTCTACTGAAGAGAACTGGCTTGGGTTTGGGCTTAGGTTCCTCAAAAAGTCTGAAGAAAGCGTGATACTCCACACAGATCTTCCAGAATACCTTGCAGCAATCCCGGCTGGCCATCAGAAACTCCAGCGTGTCTTGGTAGGTGCTCTGCTGCAAATGGGTCAATCACATCCACACCTAGAGCACAACTTTTGCCACTTTTTAACCATATGAACAGCACAAACCAGGTCAAGCCATTGCATTCAATAAGTATATTTTTAACTTTCGTAGTATGGACATTTTTCTTATTCTCCAAGTTTATTTTCTAATCAATAAAAAAAGACAACGCATTAACAGTTTTCAGAAAAGCAAACAGCTCCTGCAAAAACATTCGCCATCACCATTGTAGTATTTACCACCATTTGAAATTTTGAAAAGCACAAAAAAACTCATTCCAAAAACTTAAAAAAACAAATCCTTTAACCTCAGAAGTCCAGCTTGTTGCTTGTTTCTCAATTTTAAGGTAAATTGCAAAAAACAAACTTACATTCAAGTCTGGGCGCAGCTTGATGAGAAATCGTTTCCGTTTAAAGCTCAGCTTCCGCACCTTAGACCAGTTAAAAGCATTGATCTTTGTGTGACCCTTTAAAAAGGCACAGAAAAGAAAAGCAATTTATGTTTCCAATGCAAAGATGTCAAATCCCACAGACGAACACTGAATATGGTACCTTCCTTTTCAAAGAAGGTTACAATTACATTTCATCATGTTCTCAGAAATCTTTCTACAGGAGAGTGAAAATTAATTTTTACCATTGATTATGTTATGTTTAAAATAGGCTTAAGAAGCAAAAACATCAGGAAACCAATTATATTTCTCTAAATTAACTCACACAGGTCTGATCTGCACTGTGAAAAGGTTCATTCTAAATTTACTCTTTGCAGAGATACAGACATCATTGTAAACCATCGCTGAACAGTGCTGTGACTTCTTGAATCACGTACAGTAACAGGAAAATCCTGGGACAGGGTTGTCCTTTCGTGCACACTAAACCTTTATTCATTTGGCAGATGCATCCTTTCAAGACAAAAGTGGTACATGAAACTTCATAAACCACAAAAACATAAGCGTAGCACTAATTAAGTGCCAAGATGCTGCGCAGCACTAAGCAGTTTCAGGACTGATTGACAGGAAATAGAGTCATAAAACCACACTCACTAAATGGGGTATTAGTCACACGCCTCTAGGGTTAGGTATATCCTGAAGAGATGCATTTTCAGTCTCTGACATTACTGATAACCACAATACTGGGGCCCTTGGTTCAATTCCTGGGGTACTATCTGTGAGGCGTTTGCATGTTATGCTCGTGTTCACATGGCTTTCTGTGTGGTTTCCTCCAGGTACTCTAGTTTCTTCCCACAGTCCAAAGGCACACTGGTAGGTTAGTTGGCTTCTGAGAAAAATTGGCCTTGGTGTGTGTGTGTGTCTGCCCTGCAATGAACTGGCATCCCATCTAGGCCTTGCGCCCCATTGCTTGCTGGGATAGCCCCTATCCCCTGCAATCCTGTATTGGGGGAGGAGGTAAGAAAATGGATGGATTCCGTTCAGCACTGGAATTGGAGTCTTAATGAACTGGATCTCGGTGTTGTAGCGCAAACATAGGGCCTGATAGTAATCTCGAGATAAGCTGTACAGCACCATTGGAAGCCCTTCAGGCTAGCTCTCCGGTTCTGTTTTTTTAGAAGGTGGCAGCATCTGTACCCCTTATTACCTGAAACACTAAGATTCCAGTGTGGGCCACAGCCAGATTGAGTTTGGTTCCCTCTCTATCCTTGGCAGGATGGATCCGGATTCCATACATCTCCAGCCGTCGAGCAATTTCAAGGAGCTGATAGTCCGACTCTGCTGGTGTCTGCCCACTGAAAGACAACAAGCCGAACCAAACCAGCAATGAATTAGGAGCTGACCCAATACTTTGTCTTCATCTTTAAAGACTATATTATCCTTAAAGGTTTCATACCTTTAACTATTTCTTTAATTACTCCTTATGCTTCTTTACTGTCCCTAGTAAGCAAACACTGTTAGCGTATTTCACTGTGAAAAACCGGGGATAATATTACACTACGTTGTCCTCACTAGCTGAACTTTGTTAAATGGCAGGCTGTGCCTGGGTGTGTCACTGATTGAATCTCTCTCAAAAGAGCACCCATGGGACGCACTACAGTTTATTTAATATTTAAAAGACATTTTGAATGCATGTTGCCACATCTGCTTCAAAACTATAAGCAAAATGTGATGTAAAACTTTTTTTAAATATTGTGCATTCTGGTCACCAATATTTATCATCTCTGCAGTTAAATATGGCAAAATGTTTTATTTCAGGGAAGTGTTAGACACGCATTTTAGACATCCATGTTACAGAAGATATCAATTTTATGAATTGTCAGGAGCTGTATGACCTTCCCACAATGATGACAGCTTTGCAAAAGTGAAACTTTAGATTTTCTATTCTTATTGTCAGATAAACTGTTAAACTTCCTTAACTACCATGTTGGAGTTAGAAAAACACTGAAGTAATCTGGTAAATAACCACAAAGGCTCTGAAAGTTCCTGAACTTATCTGATACCACTGAAGTTCCAGAGAAGAACAAAGACTCAGATACACCAATAGTATATACCCTCTATCTGAGTTCTGGAAAATTATTTCCTGTTTCCTGGATGTGGTGCTTAATTAGAATGCCTAATGTTGATTTCACCCAAAAGACAAGTAGCAAGAATTATGTCCCAAAAGAGAGTTGGGAGTTAGAGGCTAGCAGGCACAGTAAAATTTAAAATCTCCAGTTTCAAAAACTGGATTAATATATCAGAAACTTCAGTCAATTAAAGGATGATATTGGAGCACTTCATGCTTTATTACAGTAATCGATGTACAACCTTAAGAAAGATGAATTATAGAGAATTTCTTTCATTCAAACCCCTTAAAGCTGTGGCCAAGTTGTAGGTGTTCATTGTATGCATCCGAACTTTTATCCATGTGATATAGCACCAGCAGCACCCAAACGTTCAAACATAACAGGAAATTAAATGTAAAGGTGCAGCTTTGCATTTCTTTTTTTATTTGTAATGGTTTTTAAGAATCTTTGTCACGTGGCTGGATCTCCAAATGTTATCATTTTGAAGCCTTCGGATAGCGGCAAATTCCATAGCAGTGCAGCAAGTGCTGTTTAAAGCCCACTAACTGATAAAACAGTTCTCAAAACAGTATTTCCATGTCAAAAGAGGTATTCTAGTAAATAGAAATAAAAGCAAATAAAAAAAGTTTCTTTGTAAATGAATAGGAGGAAAAACATGCAAAAGAACTGAATAAGAAAAACAATACAAAACTCTGTTACATTGTACATTATGCAGTACAAATCTGACATCTATGAAGTCAGTGAAGAGCCACAGCATGAATGTGTGTATCTAGAATGGGTCCTTGTACAAACCAAAATAGGCTCACACATTCAGTACAGCCAGCTGTTTCACAGGAGTTATCTCATATTTGGCAGTATAATTTTCACACACCAGGAACCTTAGGCTGATGCCTTTTTCCTATTGAGTACGCATGAAATAATTCCTTGTTACAACAGTAGACTATTCCAGGCACCCTATGTTTCGCATCAAACAAATTCCCCTCAGGCTCAAACCACTGAGATACCACAGTGGGGAAATATCCCAGAAGGAACTCAGCTGGTAAGCAAGGCTTTTAAAGAGAATCTAAAATGAACCTTGAGGTTTCCCATAAATAATGTACAGTGAAAGTAACTTGTAAACATCCATATATATCAGGTATTAAAATCGGTAGACTTTTATTACACAACTCTGGTAATTTTTTTTCATAAATGTCAAGAGATCGAAATTCAAAACTCATATGGTTTTCTACATATTTAAAATTCTGCAAGGAAGGTCTAAATGTTCAAATCAGATATCAAACAACAACCAAACAAACAGGACAATAAGGCACTGTTAACCAGATACTCAACGTACACATGCTTGCGGTGAAACTCATTGATCTTGTCAATCAGCACATCTTGATCAGGAATGTACTTGCTTTTCCGGAGGTGTTGCTGGTTCTGGGCTTCATCAAAATCTCCAATCTCAGCTGATCAAAGAGAAGGGAAAAAAGGAATAGAGTAAAAAAAAGTAATATAGTCATATATATATACAGTACACAAGATCACAGCTAGATAAAGCCTTCCCCTGCCTTTGGCCTACTGTTTGCAAACTAAGGAAATGAACAAGACTCACCTCATATCAAGAACTACAGTACAAAGAAAGATGCAATATGCCATTAAAAACTCTCTGTGCAAAAAATGCAAAACTAATACACATGGAAATTTGTCTGAAATGTCAAATACTAGTATCTTTATGTATAAATGAATAAATGAATGCAGAGTAACAATTTAACAGTGATACTCTTTTCAGATGGAAAGAAAGGTAACCAACAAGAGGAAGCTATTCTGTGTTGATCTAAGAATCTCTCCCACCCCTTTAAAACATTTAATTTCAAAATACTTAAATGATAAATTGATAAAGTGAGAATATGAATTAATTGCCATGTTGTTTCTGAGACCTGTACATTTTTGGATTATTGTATAAGCAATAAAATAAATTGAAAACTAAATCTACACAAATACAATATCTAAAATAATGTGAGCAATTCTTTATTTGAAACGTGCCAGTAATACATTATGTAAGTGTATGGCACTCAATACATACAGTAATGTGTTTTCTCTTTTACTTAATTGGTTAACTTCATTTGAAAAAAGGATGTGTAAAGCCCTATACTTTGGTAAAATGCAGAGATGGCTCAGCAACCTTCTCTGTTAAACAGCACGAAGACTGAGGCAGTCCGCGCCTTCCTCAGAACACTGCCCTGTGAAGCTACCTTCTCGCTCAATGGACAAAGAACTCACTATCTAAAGGTACTTCAGGTGAACCAAAACACACAGATTCACCGACAAATCCACTCTGTTGCAATCTCAAACAAACCGTTGCACTCTGCTACACTCTCAATCATTTGAGAGACATATGGGCTTAGCAAAAGATGAGCAACAAGAAAGCAGCTCTGACTACTGACGCTTTCACGAGGCAAGATTCGGTGTCAATGCCTTTTGTGATGCTTTTTCAATCACAGACAGTAAACATCCTGGGAGCTTCAAGCATTCTTATTAAAAAAGTTGGCTTAAACAGATTTTAACCAACAAGGCTATGCAGATATCTGGACTAAGCAGATGTAATACGTTTTTAACAACCTTTCAGAATTCCTGCAGGTGGCAATATGCCTGTTTTCCATCAGTGCAATTTTTAACTCATACAGTTATAAAATAGCTTGTTTTTACTCAATATTATTCTTTCTTAAAAAAAAAACGTTTAATCCCTTATACTATTCCACTTAAACAAATATTATTTTTAAAGCATGAAAGGAGCTGTGCAGGAATTAGATATTTGCATTCACTGTGCTAAAAGTAACACTATTCCTATACTGTATGTGTCTGATAACCTGAATTTGCATAACAAAACATCAGTTTTTAGACGCATGATCTGTAAGTATGTATTAAGGGTTTATATGCACACTCATGTATTGTGCTCTTTACTAATGCTATTCAGCAGTAGGAAACATTTAATCTTTCACTACAACTCTCAGTAAACAAACCAAATATGTTTATGCCAAAGGATAAAAATATAATTTTACCTTGAACATGCAGTCTTGTGGTGTATTTAAGCACAGTTCAAACTCCTAGAGACTCACTTACATTGAATAATGTGAGAGACCAGGAGGGCAGCACTGCTATCGTTACAAGTGAGGCGGCCAGTGGCCAAATCCTGCTTGATCTGTAAGGCAAAGAGGTACCTGTGAAAGAAAATAAAATGTTTAAAGAGGTTCCACAGGTAAATGTATAGCAGTACATACATATATACTACAATAGATTTTCTAAAAGTTAAAGTACTCCAGCCTGACAAAGAGCTTCTCCAGTCTCTCGGTTGTGTTCTTTGCAATTAAAAATGTACTGGCAACTGTTTGTGTGGTTAATCCTCTATACACATAAACATGGAAATGATTCATTAGTCCGCCTTGCTACCACCCAAATGCACACACAACCACACCATTATCTTACCCTGTGGACATCAATTTTATTTAGAATTGTAAGGTAGCTTGACATTGGTCCCTTGCTAAAAAAAAATCTCAGATAAATACACTTTTCAGGTATTCATTCTCCCTAGCACAGAAAATGTCTACCCTGTGCCAATTTTGAGGCCTCAAAAGACCCACCACACTCGGGCTGTGACTGAATTGGGCTTCCGCTACCATCCCAACAGAGCTTCTGCAAACCGCAGTTTTAGATAGGATTTTGTCTTAGAAATTTTGCCAGGAAGGTTTAAATACCTTTGTGTCAGATACACCACCATGAATACATAAATTCTGGAGGGCAAGAACAGCTCAAAAGCAAAATCCCACACAAGGGGATACACTTCTCAATAAATCTGTGGTACAATATCTGCCACCAGTATCTGCCACTGTTTAAATAAACTGTCCATTTACTTTACTATTGAATCTCAAAATGCTGCTGACATCATGCTTCATTTAAAGAAGACAAATATATTATTATCCAAGAAAACACTATGAAAATCTATCAGTGTAGCATGTCTTATGAGAAAACCCTTGAAGTAATGAGAATAACAGGCAGCTCTGAATGAGTTATATTTTCTCCTGACATACTGTTATTAACATATACTTCATTGTACAAATAAACTCCATTATGAATGAGACAAGTCAGAAATAAAGATTACTACAATGAAATTGCTACAATTCTCTTTTCACGGCTTGTATTTCCCTCTGGGTTTTAGAATTAATGCTACAATATAAACTGCTCTAGATAACATTATTAAATGCCCATTTCCATGTCCAGACATAGCAGACTGATTTGCCTTTAAGCAGGACTTAAACTACAGATTGGTCTCAGCACTACATAATCATCATAGAAGGGTTATTGAACGGAGAAGAAATTATTTTGAACCTCCTCCGATATTCTGAAGCATTCTGACTAGCTAGAGAAAAAATGATGTTAACAAAAAAAATAATGCAGCCAAACAAAGAAGAGACAATAACAGCATAAAGAGAAATAAAAAATAACTGAAAGAATAGAGCAAATTAAAATAAGAGGAATTAACTGGTGATAAACATTCTTTTACAGTGGATTCTTCATGTCCCTTTAGTACTCAAAATATCCTAAACAAAAATCCTGCTGAGGTTATGAATCAAGTATTTTCCAAGAATATATGTAGAGTATCCACCTCCTCCACCACATACTCCTTTGCCATCAGTGTGGAAATCTGGTAATGAATGATGCAAGTTCAGCATCAACAGAGAACCAACAGAGTGAAACAAAGAATACAGCCCTCTTCACTCTTGAAGCCACTTTGGTTGCCATGACACCCTGCTGGAATTCCTGTCTCCACCATTCTTCAGCAAACAGGGTTCTGGTACCTATGCCCTCAACAGAACAGATAGAAGATAGATCTGTTGTGCTGGTTGAATTCCTGCACCAGAACGTGACCTGCAATTGCCTTGGTCTCCACATCACTGACTCGTGGTCACACTCTGTCAAGAAGTGTGTGAAGCACAAAAAAAATATATTTCACACACGTCTCTCCCATCCCCAGTACACACTCCTAGGTGACAGCAGAAGGGCAGTGAAGCCGGCTGTTATCAAAGCTGCTGTTACAAAAGGGTTGGCATTAAGGGTGACTGAGCAGCCCTTTTAAGGACAGCAACGCTCTGCTCTCCTGTTTTGGGGAGGGAGCTGGAAAAACAGCCTGTGTATATTCATCAACAGTGCTGACTGAATGTTAATGGATCACCTTTCTGTGGCTGAAAAACCCAAAAGAGAATATTAAAATCTGGGATCTGGGACCTGGCCTTTGTGGACTGTCCAGGCAATGACTGGTCACTGCATTTGTGGTCCAAGAACTCCACAAATAACATTACCACCTTGAGTGAAACCTAACGAGGTGAAGAACTCAAGGAACATGTAGCTGGGCAGAATTTCTTCTGGAAAAGAAAACCATGAAACTCATTGAGTTTAATTTTCTACCAGTCAACCAATCACCTTAAGGAGTTTCCTGCAGAATCAATGGGTTGTCTCATCTTTGGCTCTAATTAGCAGGAAACCAATATACAGATGCGATTGGGACGGTTTTATGGACCAAATTCTTAACGTTTAAGGACCAAAATGACACGAGATAAACTTTACTAAACTGATGGAAAGGTTAAGGTGTGAAAAAAAGAACTGCAGATTCCACAAAGATTACCACCTAAGCCATGCATGGTCACCTCTGGAACTGGTGCACTTGTGTGCATTGTCGATGTCACTAATGATGGCATCAAATGAATGAATTCTGAAGTTTCTAAAAATGTTTCATCTACTTATGTAGATGAAAATGCTCAGACATTTATGAGCTTCATGATGTGCCATAACAATGGCCCGTAGAGGCCAATGCAACAAAGGAGAAAAAAGTGGAAAACCTTACACTGGCCAAGTTAAACCTCCAGATCTAAATTGTATTGAGCAGCATTTTACACGTCAAAGAAAAAAAACCCACAAAGTTAAAAAAGTTACCACATTCCAAGAATAGACCAGAACTCAAAAGTGGTTGCAGCAACTTCTGAGATGATTAAAGAGAGTTTGGCGAGTGCAATGGGTCCCCGATTCTTACAGTTATTGCCTCAAAGGAATATACAATCAAATGTTGACTTTTATACTCTAAAATTAAACTGAAATCACTGGTTTTAATATAGAGTATGTGGTTTTTCTACTATGATTAAATTTATGCATTGAATTAGCCACAATATATTTTATCTCAGAACTACAAATAGTTGACTGTAAAGTAAAAACTGATTTGTCTCAATACTTTTGGAGGGCCCAGCATTTTTTACATTTTAGTCAGATGTTCCTGGTTCACTGATTTGAAGTTTTTTTTTATACTTATGGTAATTCAATAAAAAGACCACATACTGTCTCATACTCAACAACACTGTCAAACATTGGGTTTAGCAGCATTTAGTTAGAAATGATCTCCCAAGCTGAATACATGCAAAAAATGAACACTCCATTTATCCATTGTTACTATGCAGCTGGATTTCCTTTATTCACCTCAATCCCTTCCCAATATGTATTTTTAACATTTAAACTTCAAAGCAGTGTTTTCAGTTATTAATCTCACAGACTAATATGAACAGCCTGAAGACAGTGGATGATTAAAATTATTTAAATTATGCATTCTGTTAGTGGCTGAATAAATGCTTCCATATACAGTACATGACAATCTATTTTTTTTTTCAATAATAAGGGTTAAAACATTTCATTCACAAATCACAAAGCACGATCTTCAGGTTCTGTTTACATACTGAAACCTCCTCACAACATAGATAACTGCTTCTGCTCTTGGAAATTCACAGACTCACAAACATGGTTATCTGAAGCTGTGCTCGCTATTCTGCAGTGGAAGCTGTACAAATAACAGTTTTTCTTAGGCAGAAGACAGGCGGAGTGATATAAAAAAAAAAGTTTCTTCCCCTGTGGGAAACTTTGAAAAATGAGAACCTCAGTCCCAGTAAATTGGAATCCTCTAATTCTGGAAAAAGTAGAGCTTTGCTTAAGTTATTCATGGAGCTGACCAAAAACCTGGCAAAAGTAATGAAGTGGTCTCTCCCAGCTACACAGAATGAAAAATGCACAACTTTAATACATATTTTAAAGGGTTGATGTGTTTTTCACAAATGAAGTACTATTTATCAGAGAACATCTGAAATACAAATAATGTCATCAACTGTACCGTCAGTTCCTTTCTGGTATACAAGACCATATTGATGGAAATCCTGTTGGAAAATAACTTATCTTTCTATTAAAATTTAGTTGGGGGGTCAGCTTCTTACAGTGATCCTGCCAGATCATTCACTTTTGCTTAAGAAATGGAAAAAAGGGGTTTGTCAGAAGCAAGAAAAGATACTACATATGCCTGAGAAAAATGTGTTATTCTAATGATACATTTTACCAGGAAACAGGAAATATTCCAAAGCCATAACTCTTTTAGTAATAGTTACTGTGCATGGTGCATGCATGTCTAAATTCTCCACAAAAGGCAGTGTTAAAGGGAATAATCCACAAATAGTATCTGACAAGAGTTGCTAGATATTAATATTGTCCTTATGGAATGCAGTTTAAATGTTTATTATTACCCAAAGAGACATTTCTCTATATCAATCTTCTAGCTTGATGGTTCGTACATACATAAAGCACAATATAACCAATGTGTTTAGAGTTCAGATTTCATTTAGACTGTGCTCAGAACACATAGTAATACTCTATTTAGATCATAAGGGAAACAAAGGAGGAAAGACTCTAAATCCAACTTTCTTGCCTGTTACTGAAAGTGAATAAATACCTTCTAAATCTGTAATAAAGGCTGGGAAAGACATCTACTAAAAAATGCAGGCATGAAGAAATCCAAGAACTAAAAACAAGCAAGCAAAACTACTGATTAAGACAGACAAGATAAAGACCAGATTAAAAACTTTAAAAACATCCAACTGTGATACAATATCTCTAACCTTGTTAACTCTTCCTGCAGCTGAGTGTGATCAGGAGGGAAGAACTTCACCACAAATCTCAGCACGGTGTGTTTGGGTCCTGGGAAAGAGTTTTCCACAATTAATGAGAACACTGCAACAGCAAAACAACTGAGAATATGCTAGCTGTATGCAGTAAACCACGTTCTTAAATTCTACAATAATTGAAAGGAAAGGAAAACAGAAATGCAAGATTCTTTAATACTAGCACTAACTACAGTATATACATTTTTAGGAATTGTCTTTACAGACTAATCAAGTAAGCACAAATAATTATTAAATTTGTATAATCACATTAAATAAAACCCCCATAATCACTGTAGTTTTGTGTTTTTATTCACTGCTTAACACAGCAGTTATTTGATGTTGAAATTCTAATGACTTTTTCCATTAGGCTGGCTGGCCTATCTCAGTCTAGCCCAGGATGATATCAGCTGAATGTTCTGTGTTCTCAGTTTGTGGCTTATAGCAACTCCTCAATGACTTGTGGTAAAGACTCAGCTGCTGTCGCATGAAAAAACTAAGCAATTACCCTTATTAAAATCTGAGATAAATGTCAGATCCACCTGACACAAACCTCAAATACCATGTGTGGAAAGCTCTTAAGGGCACAATTCCTATGTTAGGCTACAAGCTGTCTAATTTAGGAGCATTTAGTGTTGATGAAGTCCATTTATTTAGAAGCATCCTTTCAACACATAATTTACTTTATCCCCACATAAATAATAGACATTTAAATTCAAAGTGAATTCAGAATTTAGCAAAAAAGAATGGTCCAAAACAGCCTGTTGGAAATAATGCACTTATAATTAACCTACCCTTCAACCACATAAAAAGACAAAACATTATTACAGCATTTGCATTTCGTAACACTTCCTCTGAAAGGACTGTCTCTGGTTGTGTGCAGCATGTAAGGAAACCAGGGAGCATTAGGAACAAACTCAGCCCTTTCAGACAGCTGCACTTACTCCTGACTTGCTTCATAATGGGTTTCAGCAGGTCCAGCCACACCTGTAAAAACAAGAACATGTCAACAAGTAGCTCGCTGAATACAACATGGTCTACTGCACTGAAGGGCCAATGAATTATTTAAACCCTGTTTTCTCTTGCGTTCAACCGCAAGCTCTCAAGTGGGATTCTTATTGCACTCCTGGAAGAGGACTGGCCACAACTGACGAAAATGCCCTGAAGACCTGGGATTGAGTCCAAAGTAGGTACAAACATTAGGAAGCAACAAATAATGTACAGGAGGGGTGGGGGTGTGAGACAGATATGGTCTTTTCGTATCGATGTTTTGGAACTTTGTGGCTAGATGAATGTCACCTTTTAAAAACACAATGAAGCTCAGCTCCAGAGTGGTTCCACCACAAAAAACACTTCATCGGGATGCTATGTAAGTCCAGACACTGGCAACTGGAGCCTCAGCTATGCTATTAACCAGTGCTGGTGGCAGAATCTCAATCTAGCTGAGTGCAGCCTAAATTGGACACCTAACAGTAGCTTCTAATACAGGCCTGACACCTGCAAGCTGGCAGATCTGTCAGTGAGAGATGTGCTATTTCTCCCACCACTGATCGCTCTCCTGGAAGGTGCTGAGGCGTGACAGATGGACACCAAAGGACTGCCCACAGACCTTCTTATGCTCTTGTAGTGCAGGGGGCTTTGGCACTGAGATTGTTAATATCTGGCAATTCTGACCTTGGATATGGTGTGAAATAAATTAATTTTGACGATTAATTCCCATTTTAAAAAAAGAGGAAAATGGATGTAAAAATCCAGACATGCACAATTCCAGCTCAGTGTTTTATTTTACCCATGGCATCTTTAGAAAATATGCACCTTATCTCTATCCCAAACCTTTCACCTGTGCTGTACATGTGAAGTGCAAAGAAGAGGACAAAAAAGTTATCATACTGTGCATCAGTGGTCAAAGTTGCCTCTTTAGGCAAGTGAATCCCCACAGTTAAATTGTCCCTTTCACAGACATGAGTGACAACAGTGGTTTAGATGGGGGTGGATAATATTAGTTTAATATTTTACATGTACCACTTGAGTATACGGCAATCTGAGTGAAATACCCCACTGCTGGTACAGCAGCAGAATCCCATTGGAGTTCTAAACACATCTGTCTGTCTGTCCAGATTACAGAGCCCTAAAAAACGACCCCATGCTGCGGCCAAACCATATTTTTACTCTCTAAATTTGTGTGAGCTTTAAATTTATTTCAAGACTCTGTGCACCCTCCTCCTTACTTGAGTTAGCCCTGATCTGTCCTGAGATGTTTGCTGTAGGCAAACAGCATTGCTAAACAACATGTAGGAGAATGCAAAATGAACTAAAAATGGATCAATCATCCAAAAATAAATTTCTCTGATTGTATTCCAACACAACAACATCACCCTGTGGTAACTCCCAAAAGAGCAGAGATAGAATCTAACCTAGAGGGAATAAAGTGAATAATCACACCCCACAGAGTCCTTACCACCGTTCTTGTTTTGCAACACAATCTTTAGCAGTAGACTGTTTACTCCAACATTCTCAAATCTCCAGAGCTGATATACTTATGTATCCAAATTACTTTGAAGTACCACTGTTCTACACTAACTGCAATCTGTTTCCCTTTTAAAATGTAATCCTTTTTAATGTCTTTCACATTTCATTCACTCACTGTCATTTTCCTGTGGTCCTGGAATTCAAGGCCAAAGTAGTCTCCCTCAATGAGATTCAAATGGCTACACACCAGGTCAAATAGCATCTTCCCTGGAGCTCTTTGCTGTGAAGAGAAAACAAGAAAATAAAACAAATTCAGAACTTTTGAAAAACAATTAATAAATCTGGTCACCATTTATGGCTCTAATAACTTATAACCAAAAGAAAGATTGGCCTGCCTGCTTATATGTTAAAACAAATACATAAACAAATGAAAAAAGGAAATTGTTTCATAGAGCCCTAAAGTGTTTGCATATGTTTTTTTGGAGGCTAGTATGCTCACTGACCCTTGCACATTTTTTTGAAAACCTGCTTTAGATGATTCTAATATGATTTTAATGTGATGCATCAAGACAGGCCTAGACAATGCATTCCCAAATTAGGCCATCTCCTACAGCCAGAGCCCTGCTGTTGCACCTCAGCCCTAAATCTAAATTAATGGCACCAAAATGACTGTAGAATCACTATTTAAATGCTGGGCCAATGCTACTAACTGGCAACAGAGTTTTCTTTAACAAAGCAATGAAAAAAGGGCTATAATTGTTCAATCTTTTTCTTTTCTCTCTAACTGGCCTTAAAACTCTAATGAAGCATGGATGGGTTTACATAAAAACAATCAACTTAAAAACAGAAATATATATATTTATAAAAGGCCACTTTTTCTATAATAATTATTTCGCGTTTAGGTAAAATAAAGATAAAAAACTCAGTCTAAGACAATCTAATAATGTAGATTTGTTCTCCTGCAGTAAGACGGTTTCCAATCAGAATGGCCCACTAAGTCTGGTTCAGCTGCTGGCTGACTAATAACTTAAGACTCCTGATGGCTTATTTCACAGTCTGTGACCTCCAGCATGTCACGCCAAAGAAGTCAAGGACTTAGGAACTGGCAAGCCTCTTGGAGTAGCAGTATATGCAAATGGAAATGCACAGTCATTTGTAATAATTACAAACAATTTTAATGGCTGTCCCTCTAGCAACTTCCTTTATGTAACTATTCAAAGCAATCAAAAGAACAAAGGGAATTAAAATGAAAGAAAACTGTCATACATATTCAAATATCTTTTCCATGCAATATTTAAGGAATTGGTGAAGAGTAAAAGCATTGTACTCCTATGATATTCTCAAAGAGGATTTTCCCCAAACACTGTTACTGACAGGAGGGCTGTCTATCTTCTCAACTTTGTTCTGAGTTCCCAGCATTATTCTTGTATTGGTGAAATGCTTCGATGCTCTTTGATGCTGCAAAGTTGGCACAGGATAATGAAAGGATCCATTTCACTAAAGGCATTGAGAAGTCTTTGAAGTGACAATCAAATTACTGCTTTTGGAAGCATACAGGTAGAAACTCCATTTCAGTCCTTCCAAACACTAAAACCTAATTTCTAAAAAAAAACATTCAACACTTGTCTGCAAAAGCAGGTTCAAACCAGTCTGCACATCTATCATTACGGTATCTTGGAAGACAGAGTTTAAATGGTGAGCTGAAAGATTGATTCTGATTAGATGAGTTAATAGTTAAGGCCACTAACATATCTTTAATGATCTTACTGTAATGTATAGGGAGAAAAGGGGAAAATATTCTCTTCTGGATACCACTTGCTTGTGCAGAGGTATTGTTACATATTGCCTAACACCATTTAGTAACTTCCTGCAGGTGACATGAAGTTTAACAAAGGTCATAAAAACATAAAGCATGTCAATGGTCAAAATAACAGTGCTAACCTTAACCTATATGGACACATGAAACACAAACATGAAATACATAATTGATCACCATAATAATGAAGAAAAAGCAGTTTTTTTTCATTGCAGCACACACACTGACACAGCTCCCCCACAAAGACCTAATAATACAATGAACCACAAAACTAAAACTATTTCCTTATACAGTACAACAGTATAAAATGTCTTCAATAGCAGTACTTCATACCAATGAATGTTATGAGTTTTAGCTTGACCTGATCCAGTATAAAAAATATCATAAACTAAGTGTGGGCTTAGTATAGCAAACCTTGGACTACACACATAAGCAATGTTTGTGGTATTTCTATATTTGTTGATGTCTAATGTCAAGACATTTCTTTCAATTTAGAATTGGAATGACCCATTGTTTTTTGATGTCTTGTCTTGCAGCTATGAACACTGTGTCCGCACACGGGAGAGAAAGAGGAAATGCAGGCAGACTCCTTCGTCCCGCCCATCCACCTTCGAGCAAATCGTCCTTCACAGGCAAAGCAGCCCCAAACTGTAGGATCAGCAGTGATTGGCGGAGAGGCCAGTCACTCACTGACAGAAACAAAAGCACCTGGGAGGCCACAGGCAATGGCTGCATCACTGAAAGTCGAGATGAGTGCCACCATCTGGGGAATCTGGGTCAGAGCTGGCTAGTGGCATGACCCATAAACGAACCCATGACCATGGCACTCAACCTGCATTTGTGCAAATGCCTTTACTAACAGCCACTTGACTTTATCTCACTTGGATGTGATCTGGCAACAGACTATGAAATCTTTGTCCTTAGCCTTCATTTGCACAACAAAAGAAATCTTGCAAATAAATGCATGTTGCTCTGTTGGCTGTTCTTCCAAAATACCAGAAAGCAGGGAAACAGTAGTCTGTTTAAAGTGAACCACTCAAAGAATTTTAACACCATAGTATACTTTGTGCCTCCTTTCTTCCATACCAGTGTTTGGTGCAAATAGCATGTCTTGAAATAAGCTTTCACCAACAGCCAAGACTCTAGAAAACTAGCCCTTGGGCTGGAGCCAGCCGTGAAAGCAGTGTACCAGAAAGCCGTCGAGACACAGAAGTCACTTTCATCTCATAGAACCCAATGAGAATACATTTTAGATTGAAGGTCACAGAATCAGTAATACACTGGAAACTAAACCCAACACTGACCTAAAAACCATTTTGAAACTGAACAGACACTACCACTAATCCCTGGTTAGGTGCATCATTAAAAAGTAGTGAGGCTAATATTTATCTAAATAACTGCAAGAAACTGACATTTCCTCAATTTTTGGATGGAACCCTGTTAAAAATTCAGCTTTGATTCAGGCTTTGTCCCTCAAGAACAGCCCCTCGGCATCATGAAAGCAGATCCACACTCTGGTCAAGATTTCTGACCTTGCCGCAACCACAAATAGCCACTAGAGTGCGCCATCTTTTTTGGAATCCAGCAAACAGAAGACCACATTTTTTTCAAGTCTAAAAATAATACTTGAAATTATTAAAAGGTATTTTTCCCCTCTGTTTTTTTTTTTTATAGGAGAAGAAAGCTCTTGTCAGCAAACTACTTGGAACTATGAATCTACATGATTCACAACTACAAAGAACAGAGAAAGTTTTCCTTTCAGACTCTTCAATGTCCCCTTCATTTAGGTTTCTTTTTGTTTTGACCACAACATGCTGGGTCCAAAAATGAAGTCAAGAGAAGGACAGTTGTTTCCATATGTTGAGTTAAAGCTGGGTACAGGGCTCTTGCCAACTGAAGGCCCCACTGCTGCCAATCGCTGCAGCTGGAGCCAGCTGGCCAATACCGACAAGTCAGGAGGATAAACACTGTGAGTTTCAGAGCAAATTCTGTCAGTCTCATTAAAGCCAGAGAGCTCAATACGGGCTGGATACAAGGTCTGGAGGCTTTGACATCGCATGCAAAACAAGCAGTGCTTTGAACACAAGGTATCCAGTCTTTCTTTGGATTTATCTCAAGGTGTAAGATTTTATTTTGTCTGTGTTTGAATGTGCACAGTTCCCATTTCCCTCCTGATATTATGAAGATAGCTGTGCTGCTTCTTCTTTCAAACACAGGAATTCATGAATACATAAATACATGGCACAATGCCATTGCAATCCCAGAACAATTCTGAACCCATATGAGCAAGATAGCTTTGAAATGGTAAGGGGAAATTCTAGGAAGGCATGCAAATCAGATGAATGCTGGAATGCTGGCTGTGGCTTGTAATTCAGTAAGGAGATGTGGATTCCAATTAAATTTGTGAAGATACTATGTGTTTTAGTGCCATGCCGCTACACATGGAGAATACATCACAACACAGTTCGACTTCAGCTACACAGCTTTCTTTTGCCTGTGTAGCTGAAGTCGAACAATTTACCTACAAATACTGTAGGCTTCATTAGTTCATTTCTGGAACTGAGCTAAATATTATGGCAATGTTTCCAGTCTTAAACTGGACAGAACTAGAAAACCAGTTATTAATGACAGCATGAATTTAAAATAAATAAAAAGTGACAGCTCAAAATAAGGAAAAAAAACACTAAAATCCTAGAAAAGGCAATCCCACATTCGTGTTGATTTGCCTGATTTCCTGTGGAGATATTGTATATAACATCTTATTTACTAAGCATAGCATAAAAGGATAGCCACGGTCACATTTCCTATTTTAACACACACCTGTTTGCAAGCAATTATTTGACCAGCTGGTGACCTTTTGTACACCTTCCTGTCCATGTTAAAAATACATAATATTTAGTTTTATATTTGTCTGACTGGCACCCCATTAAAATAATTGAACTGGACAAGTCTAACTGAGAAATTCCTAGTTAGACTCCTATAATTCTGAGGTCAATTTCATACTGTTATACAGTACAAGTCTTCACTATCTACAAAACAGAACTATTTCAGCACGCTGAACTCATTTGTTCCCTGGCTATAATTCAAATTTCACACTAGACACATGCTCTGTATTAACTGAGTTGCAGGAGATTTTATTCTGATATGGTTTTAAATGGATAGGCTGGATCGGAGTAAATGCACTACTTAGTATTGTGCTAAGAAGGACCATTTCTTAAGAATATAATTAAACAAACACCTCCAATTAATATAAGCCCATTCTGTTCCAGTTTTCACTTTTCCCATAATCTCTGTAAGAGAAGATGGTCCTGTCCATTGTCTTTCAATATACATGGTACAAACTAACTCACCTCTGACTAGTCATTTGCTAGCACTGATTATCAAAAAGTCACTTTTGTAATTATTTTCTACAATACTTTTGCCATCTTAGCTGCTCTGTCCCAGTATCCCCTGCCCCTTATCTT